CTTGCACAAAAAAGGTGGGAGGGTGGTGATTGCTAGTCAGCGGATATGATGGTGGGGACATATGAGAACCACCCTTATCTGTGGGACAGCACTCTATTGCTAAGGCTCCTGAGTTCGAATGGCTTCTGCAAAATAAGAGAATAAATAAAATTAAAGAAAACAGAAGTTGAAAATTTGCCTAAAGCTGAAGTTTAAATAACAAACTCCTCGAATGCAAGTACATGGTATGAGTCCCCTACTTCAGAAGGACACCTAAATGTATACTTCAGAAAAACAGTAATTATTATTAAGCCCTCGCTTTTCTTCTACATAGTTCACGCACTTTGACTTTTGTGTTTAACTCATATTCAACCTATATAAGTAGGTAAAATTATCATCTTTTTTTCACTTAAACTTTTATTTTCTTTTCGCAAAAAAGACTAGAATTCCATCACTAGAAAATCTCAGGGGGAAATAGTATTTTTTTAAATGAAGAAAAAACAAAAATATGATGAACCCATGTTTTTTACATATGTTTTGAATTATTAACACCTATTATATACTTCTGCACCTCTGTCGGTTTCCTTGTGTCTTCTTCTCTTTTCAAAGGTACTGCCTTAATCGAAGGCACTGAAACAGTGCCGCTATCCTCAACTAACTCGGAGTATTGCTAGCCCACCTGGTGAATAACGGAACCACCTCTATCATGAAATCTGCCGACAAGTTCAAAGTTGGTCTCATATACAACTGGAAATGTCACAATTATGGTGTACTTACCGGTGAATTTGAAGTTTTATGGACTTTCAAACACTCTATGAATCATTTACTTACAATTACTGTCCATTCCGCATCTCTTATATTTCACGCCAGCACCTGTACAAAAATGCTACTTACCTTCCACAATTAACGTAATCGTTTATAATTCCCGCGTGAAATTGTCATACCGTATTTTTTTCAATTACAGTTTTGATTTGATGCTATTTCTCATGAATTATTCAGTTGAAAGCATATCTCGAAAATTACCTATTGCCTTATTTGTACATTTCTTTTTAAATATTTCTCTCAAATTTACCAGTATTCAATCTATTTCTAGATTAACAAATCATATATATTCTATAAGTTCTAATTAGTGTACATTTGTTCATGCCTGTAAAAATGGCTGGTTTCTGTTCCAGAAATAAAATTATTATTATTACTGGACGGGTTGTAGGTGGTGGTCGATTCAAGAGTCCTTTGAAGTGGTCCGCCCATTGTTTAATCTGTCTTCCTTCTTTGGTAATTGGGTTCCCTTGGCTGTCTTTTATAGCTTTCACTTGTGTTGATCTCTTCCCGGATAGAGACTTGGTTATCTGATATAGTGTCCTCAGGTCCCTTTTGCCTGCTGCCTTCTCAGCTTCAGTAGCCAGGTTGTCGTAGAATTGTCTTTTGTCCTTCCTGGCACTCTTCTTCACTTCTTTGTCCAGTGCTGTGTAAATTGAGTTCAGCGTCTCTTTCTCTTGTCCATCTTTGCATTGAATCATTTTTTCTTTCACCTTTCTCCTCTCCTCTATTAGCTTCCAAGTGTCCGTTGAGAGCCATTCCTTGTCTTCTTTCTTCCTAAAACCGTTGAGCACGTTTCGTTGAAAATTACCTTCAGAGAGTTCCAATGGTCTTCCACGGATGATTCCTCAGTGGTGCCACGTAGTGTTTCCTGCTTTGCTCTGACAGTTGCAGTGAAAATGTCCTGTGTGATTGTGTCCTTCAGTTTTTGCGTGTTGAACTTGCATTGTGGCCTATCCCCAGGTATCCTCGAGGCTTTCAGCTTCACCTTGAAAGTCCCTTGTACTAGATAGTGGTCTGAACCCACATCTGCTCCTCTCCTCGATTTTGTGTCCAGTAGGCTCTGTCTCCACTTCCTTGAGATTGAAATGAAGTCTATCTGGTTTTTGGTGTGTCCATCTGGTGAAATCCATGTTGCCTTGTGTATATCCCTGTGTTTGAACACACTGCCACCAATCACCAAATCATTGAAGGCGCAGAAGTCTGAGAAGAGTTCACCATTTTCGTTCATTTCACCGAGGGCCTCACGACCCATGGTGAGTTCTCTTCCTGTATTGTCTCCTCCCAGTTTCGCATTCATGTCACCCATCAGGATTTTGGTATCGCTCTTTGGGACGTTGTCCATTACTGTTTGTAGTTGACTGTAGAAGTCCTCCTTCTTCTCATGTTCTGAGGCGTTTGTAGGCGCGTAGCACTGAATGATTGTAACCTTTTGTCCTTTTGAGTTGAACCTGGCTGTCATTATCCTGGAGGAGATTGGTTCCCACTGCATGAGGGCTTTAGCCGCTATTGGTGACATCATGATGGCTACTCCCTCGGTGTGCTCGTGATTGTCCTCTGGGTGACCGGAGTAGATTATTGTCTCTCCAGTTGATAGTTGGCTCCTTCCACATCCGTTCCATCTGCTCTCGTAGATTCCCAGCACTTCTATTCTATATCTCCTCATTTCTGCGGCTACCTGAGCAGCCTTCCCAGCTTCGTACATTGTACGAACATTCCACGTCTCCATCCTTATTTTCGCTTTCATCGAAAGAAGGCACATCGGCTGACTGGCTTCCCGAAGGCTTTCACCAGCCCGCGTCATTTCACTTCCCCGATTCCAGCGAAAAATAAGGTCACTATTTGTAATTTTAGAATTTTGAATATATTTGTGCGTTGAAGTTTTAGTAGCAATTTGGTTAAGTTTTGGGGGTGGAGTTGCTAGCACCACGCCCCAACCCTCCCTCTTTATCCGGGCTTGGGACCGGCTAGAATACTAGTGACCTAGTAATCTGGGCGAGGTTCCACTACTAGAATACTGTCCATTTATTATTTGCAGTACTCGCACACGTGATAAGGATGGAAAGTATCCAACGATATTTCACGTCCAAACTACTTGGCTACGATTGCAAGAAAGACTACATCTCACGGTGCATGATTCTAAAACTTGACCCACTTTGTAGAAGACGATGTATTATAAACCCAATATCCTTCTTTAAGGTCCTACACAAATATCATTCTCAGATAACCAGATGTGCGTGGCACAGACACACTTCCAGTGTTCATCTCCTCAATCAACAGACAACGGATAAAAGAACTAGGTAGTTGGTGCGCCAGAAGGAACTTTGGCTTCCGTACAAAGTACATATGCATGCATAAACTTACGAATCACTCCCTGAACACTCCTTGTGCTTCTTTCCGTGCTGCTATCGTTTCTCTTATTTTTCTCTCACCATTTTGGCTTCTATATGACTTTCTGAATGATGATGAAAAATGTGTACACTTGGCGACCAAAATTCAGCAAAAAAGATCTGCAAAAGTTACTTGCGCCAAATCCTACAACTGCCTTGCAAAATACACACTACTTTCTTCTACGACGCAGCATGGATGACAATTGAGGAATATTATCTTTGTAGAGTAAAATATCCTGATCACTACCCGCAAAGCGCCGATAAACTTGGAAGTTTAGGAAACAGTGAACAGATGCTAGTGATTGCATTTATAATCTCACCAACTCCTGGGATGACAATTTATATCATGTGCATGCTCCACTCCTCACTTTATATGTATTAGTTTGCCATTATTTTGGTTCCCAGAAGCGAATGAACTCAAAATCACCTGTTGTTACAACAATGCCTCCTTGTACTTTTGGCTAGACACTTACTACTGTGGTGAGTGAGGGGCCATTAATACTGCTAGATATATTGTTATCAGTAAAATAACTAAAGTTTTATTAGACAATTTCATCACCTTATCAATAACCTACCATACCTATCATCAGCAACGCAACCCCCAAATATGGAGGGCATTTTGGTTAAATTTCTTCAGATACAGTGCTTAAAATTATGCCATGTACCTTGATTCTGTCCGTGTAAATTGAACTCATAGACACTATTCCATTAACTTGTTTTTTATTGTGTGATTGGGTAATTGTAAATGTACGTACTCCACGTACTTATAATCTGCCATGTTGACGCCTGTAAACTGGTTTCAATCATGTACAAACAAATGAGAAAATACCATCCTGATATTATTCAAAAGACTTCAACCATAATATTTTCCCATAGAGTTTACTGTTCTGCCCATCGTGCTGGACAACTCCAAACACAATTTCTAATCCGTTACTCCTGAATGCCTTGCATGTTATACACTTTGGTTAAGTCTATACAAAAGACATTTCCATAGGCAGCTCTGATGCAAAAATTAGCCCTAGTCACCCACCACAGCTTTTCACTAACCAGTGGGATAATCATTGAGAATCAATCTGTGTGTCATGGGGAGTGTTTCCTCCCTGGATTTTCTTGGATATGCAGTTGATAAATGTGCTAATCTTCTTTAATCTATAATTTTTAGGCAGTTAAAGATTTTGTAGCACTCACTTATTTCGAATCTTTGAGAACATTTTTGAGTAAGGTGTTTGTTACTGACAAGTACCTTTTTGAATAAAGCCATTATTGGTAAACATTTGACTTGGGACATATCTCAACTGCACTAACCTCCCAAAAGTTCACCAAAGCACTGCACACATTTCAAAAAATCAAGATGGACGAAGGAGACACTACTTTACCAGCTTATCGAAGAAATCGTATCGTGCGAAACGTAACAAAGAGCGTTTAGATGTAAAGTACTTGCCACCTACTGTTCCATCAAACATTGGCAACACTAAACTAAGAGTCGCAATTTTATCATCCATACTCAGAATTTCATTGGAAGAAAAATGTGGCTGTACATTCAAAGTACGGATTCCATTTCAATATGCCTGTGGTGCAATTACAAATAAGATTTCATTAATTGTATACACCTGAAATTGAAAGCCTGAGGGAGTATAACTGAACGCTTCACTAATAGTAGTCAAAAACCTAGCTTTTGTAGTTGATAAACGAAATAAGTATTAGAATGGCACCTAAATTAGGACTATGAGTATCACAACAATAAAATTTGATGGCTTAAGAGGTACGCTTGAGCCTTGCTCATGTTTGTTGTGATGTTTCATATGTGACCTTGAGCTCTTCAATTGTTTAGGAAATTATTTGAAACTTCTATGCGGAAACGACTAAAATGTCTTAAACAGTATGCGTCTTGTGAAACAAAGTAAGAACAATTTTGGCTTTATTTCCTTTGTTGAAGTTCACTTGTTTTTTCTCACGGTTTCAATTTGCACTTAAGACATCCTAACTACTCATTGTCTAATAAAGTATCAAAATATAAATGCAAAGCCTCAAGCAGCAATTTTGCTCAGTGTAAATAATATTAAGCATGTTTCAGCATTCTAATTCGGCTCTCGTATTTATATCTCAAGCATATTAAACTGTGGAAATTTTCGGCATTGCCATGACCTATAGTAAACTTGTCACGTGATAACTTTGCACGCCAACACTCCAATTACATAGCTCTGGAAGCAGCCAGATTTTGACGAGGCAATAATGCTAGATTCATACAGAAATAAGATACTTGGTGGAGAAATAACACTAAGTCGTTAATTAAGTCGGACATATACAGACTTCTAAAGTAAACAGACATAGGGTTAGCAGTGTGATCACCAGTATCTGCAACAGCTGCAGATATATTCATCAGCAGTTGGGTAGAGAAGGCTTTTAGTGCGTTTAATTTTTCCTTACTGTTGAGGTGAAACAACTACCCAGTAGAACTAATTCAAAAATTTAGTAGGACCTATTAGAAAAAGACGGACAATAATGAAAGTAATGAATATAGCATGAATACTTCCTGAGTTAAAGCTCCCATAGTCAACTATGGAAGATCTTACAGATCTGAAAGAAAAATCAGAAGACCTTTAGGGAACTCTTAATCGGGCTAGAATTAAGGTGAAAGTTAAATCAACAAACTCACTCTGTTTATAGGACCCTACTGGGAAAAAAGAAATATACTAAATACTATGTAGTGAGTGTGCAGTTAATTATATATGTAAAATCATCAGATTATGGTCGGCTAGACCATGACAGCATAATAATTCAGCTATATGTAGGATGATTGTCACACTACTGTATAACACTGTGTGATTTATCAAAATAAAATCTTATCCATAATGGAGATTGTCGCACTAGTCTGAAAAGTTATTGGTTACTGCCATGGGTGCATTTGCATTCAATATGGTGAGATAGATTTCAAGTATTGAGAAGTAGTGCAATCGTGGCGGGGGAGAGGTTAATTATTGAATCTTTTCCAAGGATTCAGCATCTAATCCTTGGGATACAAATGGCGTAGCAGCAATTCGGAGAATATGCAAAGTAACACTGGAAAAACAAGAGGGAATAAAACTGTATAAATCATGTTAGGAAATCGTGTAGATACACTGATATGATCGTAAACAATAAATTGTGCTGAAAACGCCATTCATTCATTAATAGTGTATCATTTTGGGCTATATCGAAAGTAATTATTTGCCGTGGAATACATTTGGTTGTCATTTGAACTCCTCCCAGTATTTTCGAGCACCGAATGAACCACAACTGCCCTCCTTATTATTCTCTTCAGAGTTTGACCTAAAGTACTAGTCACAATAACCATGATATCATCAACGCTATTTTCGGGTAAGGTAAAGTACTGCATCCTTCCAGCCAAACGTTAATATACCTTGTTATCAGAATACAAGCCCGAGTAATGTGAATTCAGTTGCTACAAAATTTATGTGGTATTGATACAGTATTATTTTCTGATGACTCCTCAGGAACAGTATATTGTTCCTGTTCATATTCAGGTAATCTTCATTAATTATTCTCGATTTTTCACCTTTCGTTATTTCAAATAAAATCACTCCATTACTGTAAGATCTACTTTGGGGAGTAACTCAAAATGGAGGTCAGCAGATACTATACGTATGTTGTAAGCTATTGATAATATAGCTGATGTAGTCTCAGTTATTTATCCACAAGGAGAGGCTGTAGGGATATGAAGAAGACATTTTGGTGCATGAAGGGAAAAATTATGTTGCTAACTGATGGCACTCAAGTATAACTTTGTGGCCCGTCACTGAATAAAGACCTTACTGGAGTATTGTCATGAAGTCTGCTTTGTTCTGGCTAACATTTACTTAAATGTCTCTGTAACATCAATCAAGGTGGCAGCCTCATGACATTTTAAGTCTAAAGCTGCTGCGCATAGAGAGCGCAATAAAGTATACTATTGAATTCCCTGAAAGGTGTGTGATAAAAATCCCTGTGATATTTTTGTCGTTTAGGTAGCTTTCATTTGACTATCAAAGACACTCTTGGGTTGACAAAGTGTTATTGATACTGCTTGTGATAGCTGAAGTTGAAATAAAAGTTTGAGCGATGACGAGATTCAAACGAACGGCCCCCGAATTGATAACACGGTAGTTTACTGTGACTATCTAAGACAGTCTCACTGCCAGTTGATAACTAGTTCCTCCTATTGTTCATTAGGATTACGACTGGCAGAAGATCTAGATGGGCAGCTAATGTGATGATAAGCGGAAGGTAACGTATCACTCCTTCTCACGGAAGCTGGGCATTACCAGTGGTGACTGCAATTAACTGGTAACCTGGTTAGCAGTTGGGTCACAGAGTTCAGCTGGTAGATCATCAGACTAGTAATTCGGGAGTCTATAGTTTCAGCCTTCCCGCTACCCAGATTTACATTTCACCTTCAATCATCACCTATTACATTTAGTTTATTATTTTCAATAAATTTATTTTCCACTTACCGATGAAGATAATGTATTCAGAAATTCTACCCAGGACTGAAATTCCGAACATAATTAACTATCCAGTTTTTTATTTCTCAAATTTATTCAAGAAATAAACGAGGGAACTTTGTACAGAGTTGCATCAGTTTAAGTTTTTAAACTTCAAAAAAGCTAGCAAAATAGGAAAATAATCAGGGGATGCTGTAGAATATATATATTTATATATATGGGTGTTACGAGAAGTATAATCAAACGAAAATAAATGGAAATAATTATAATCTGGAATATCACATAGAGGAGGTACATTTTGAGCAATGTTGCTGACAGTCTTTAATCGTTAATTGTTAGGATCCCAAAGACCCCATCTAGGCACTCTATACCCCCTCAAATATCTCAGAACAACTTTATCTACTGGTTCTGAATTTTGGTCTGAGCACTAACTGTTTTCCAGTCTAGTCCTATTTTATCTCTTACTGCATGTTGAGTAAAACAATGACTCAGAATGTATAAAACATGTCATAGCCGCCTCAACTGAAGATCCAGAACGTCATTGGTGCGCCTACCTTAGACGCCTAATTTTATGTTTATAGCACCTTCGTTATTTATTTATGTGAGCAACTGAGTGGGGACAATTATAATTAAAAGAACTGACCGTTATGCTATACAAGCATTCCTTGATATGTAGCTGGGTATAACTCATTTGCGGAGAAATGACGTGATTAGGCGTTTGTCCACTTGATATTCCAAATTCTAGACAGTATCTAGGCAAAACTATGGCACGTATGTATTAGAATTGTTTGGAAAAATTTTACAATTTTTTCTCACAGAAATTAAGTGAATAAGGTAGGACAATACACACTGAGTACATGATATCTGGATTTTTGATAATTCATCAAATGAACTGGTCTTGAAAGGCTGTAATACAAATGTTGGTTGTTGTTTATCGCTGAAAACTTAAAAAATTCAAATATTATTTCGCTTTTGAACAACTTTAAATTAACCTGGCTAAAGACACGTATTTCCTCAGTTTAAATACTCTCAACATTTGGAACACCTGTTCTTGAAATCTTCTTCCTCTGCATATGTAAATCCGTACAATCAGAAGCAGTAGGAGAGCTAACGTATGGCACACAGTCAAACTATTCTGGTATGAGGAATTGAATGATGGATCAAGTAGATTAGAACTTAGAAAACTGAATAATAACAATCAGCCCAGTTCGATAAGGCAAGAATTAAGTTTAGCGCATAAGAAAGTCACATCTTATTTTAAGGCAATCAGTATAAAGATATGCACAGTTAATGAAATTCTAACGTCCCTTTTTCTCTTCCAACATAAATATCTATGAGAATTAAAGTCTGACACGAAAGTAGTCAGTGAAATGATGGCTTAGGGATAACAATTGGCATAGAAAACTATTTGTAGTTAGTTACGAAGATTTCTGAAGAAGCATTGTAAAACAGAAATGTAGGCCATTCAGTAACAGAAAAAGGAAATAGGTGGAGACTAATGAAAGGCTTAAATATTACATGACATAAAGACTTTAAGAAACTCTAATAAGTTCTAATAGATAAGCCGAAAAATAAACAGAATGAGAGATACACATTCAATTAAAACAGTTCATTGTTGTTAGAATAAACCGTTTGAATTGGAACCATTTGTTGACAATTGATTCCTCAAAATAATTACGCTTTGATTACGTAACTTGTGTGTGTTTACCCAATCACACTTCTAAGAGACTGTTTTTCTATCGTCTTAAAATATAGAGAGAGAAACGGTTCAATGTCCATTTCTCTGTTATTTTGACTAATTTACCTTAGAAAATACATGTAAATTTGTAAACGCAGTTCGTGGTGGCTTCAGATGAGTACCTATCCTTTGTCGACTGAGAAAAATAGCACAATCACTATACATCATTTTTCTGCAACTTCATGTACTGTAAGTGTTCTAATCTGGTTGATCAGCCCAACCAATTGAAGCTGTATCTTTTATTTTCAGAAAAAGAGTAGTACTAAAATCAACTTAGCGATAAAATAGTTACGAATGAAATAAAAGCCATGAAAATAACTAGCAACACATGTTTTTCAAATAGATATCTCGTGCTTTTCGAATTAGAATATTACAAAGTGTCAAGGGAAATCAAACTGGCTTTTTGCTGTGGCTCAATAATTTAGCCTGGAAGTTTTCACAAGTTCTAGCTTCACTTCACTTGCCGAGGTTCGTGCAGCTAGGTAACATTATCAGCCCTTACACAACAGGTGTAACTTATTGACAAGTGCAAGTAAGTGCAAACTATCTTTGAATAACATTCTATTTCGTTCTCAATGAGTCTTTTAAAATCGCAAAGTATCAGCTATACTGACGATTACAGGGAAACAAACTCATAATGTTACATAAATTAGGATAAATTAACCCTAAAAACAGATCGCAAGAGGAGCTAAACATTTACTGAACCTAAGAGAAGGGCACTGAGAAATTTCTTCTAAAAGCCTTTTGGAAATACTTTTAAAAATTTGGAGACATCTAGTTCATATTTAATAAAGTTATTTGGTTTTTAAAAATCTATGTATAGAGTCCTTTATTTCTTATTTCTGATCAGTTTAAATATTATGTAATAAAGACATCATTTGTCGATATAAACATTCCTTGAAATTTTTATTACATTTTATACATTTTTGACTCACTGTTATAAGAATGAGGACATAACAACTACAATAATAATAAGTAAAACCACATGCATGTATGAACCCATCAGGTCGTATGCTCCACTCTCTAAAAGATAAAACAGGTCCACACTCATCAGTCAATGCTAGTAAAAAGGAGTTTCATATTTATCTTATTTAAAATAGATCGTTGCTGTCAACTAGGTTAAGAGAAAACTACAAATGTTAGTAATTTTCGCCCTTAAAATGTTTGCAAAGTCAATAAGAATTAGTTGTTTTCTGATCTAGGGTTTTTGATGCAAGTCATTTTAACGTTATTCTAGACATCATCATCGACACTTTATGAGAAACTGAAATAGTATTCCTCCTTTCCGATAGTAATATTTTACTATTTTGGCTGAGACCAGGAGGATCAATCGTTCGATGACTGTATGAACGCAGGTGGGATGTTACAGATTGGCGCTACGCTTTCTGTTTTCCAAAAAACGTGTGTCACTAATTTACTCAGTCGATTTCTTCTGAATAAATATGGTTCACTGAGGTTGCTTTTGGTGATTAGTTCATTTTTCGTGCTGTAAGAAGCGAAGGTGGAATTGCTCTGATTAGTTAACTTTCCTTTTCTAGAAAGGAATACTTCAAACTGAATAGCTAATCTCCTTCAAGCAAAAGGACTCAATACTATGTTAACTATCTGGTTCCTATTGCTGAATCCTGTTTTTGTCCACTTATCAGCCACAGTTTATCGACGAGGCATATAGGGGTCGAAGAAGCAGCAAAGACAGGACTCCAGGTGAACATAGACAAGACGGAGGTTATGAAAATAACCAACCAACAACAACAACAACAGCAACATCCAGCGCCAATCACCATCAACGGGAGGAATTTGAAAGAGGTTACTTCATTCACTTATCTAGGGAGCATTGTCTCAACTACAGGAGGAACGGACGAGGATGTCAAATCGAGAATCGGGAAGGCGAGAAACACATTCATCAACCTGAAACCAATCTGGGAATCTTCGTCACTCAGCATCAACAACAAAATTCGGATTTTCAATACAAACATCAAGTCAGTCCTTCTATACGGATCAGAACCTTGGCGGGTCACAAAGAATATTTCCAACGGCCTGTTGCAGACCTTTATCAACAACTGTCTTCGTTCTATACTCAAGATCAGATGGCCAGAAAGAATCACCAACAAGAAACTATGGGAACAAACAAAACAAGAACCAATCGCTCAACAAATATGCAGGAGAAAGTGGAGATGGATTGGACACTCGCTGAGGAGGCCGCTGGGTGACATCGCACATCAGGCCCTCGAGGGGAACCCGAAAGGGAAACGGCAAGTGGGACGTCCAAGGGTGACATGGAGGAGATCGTGTGAAGAGGAATTGAAACAGTATGGATTAACATGGACGCAGGTGAAAAGTACAGCAGAAGATAGAAACAAGTGGAGACGTGTAGTTGAAGCCCTATGTTCCACTAGGAACCCAAGGGAACAACAATAATAATAATATCGACGAGGCATATAGAGGGATAGTTGTTGCAGCTGAGGGATGATAAACCATAGAAATGGTCTGAGGATTTTTGAAACCAAGACCAGTTGATTGTTTTCATCCATTAGGTTCATGTACTATATCATAAATGATTCACCTATTTATTATTTTTAAATCATATATATGAATAGTTGTCTGACTATATAAAGTGTATGGCTAGATGATTCAAATACATTAGAATAATTATGTCTGTATTCTAGTCGACTCAAAATTCTATGTAACTGAATGAGTTAGCAGCAAAATAGTTACTCTGATTTTGGTTCATAATATTAACACTATTAAAAATTAGTGTTGCCTTTTACAAATAAAGTTTTATACCCCTGTTACACATTCGCAATACTTTTTACTCACTATTGTAACATGTCCAGAATAGTAATTTTCATTAAACATCTATGAAGTTCTGACTGTTCACTTCTCTCAGATTACAATACCTTGCAGATGACTTGTAACGCACCTATTAAAACTTATATACAATACAAAAGAATTTCAAGATTTTCTCTATAGACTAACTAAATCCATTTAAAAAATCTTGAGAATCGAACTTTTTCTTTACTTCTTTTCAGTTCAAATTAGGTGAACGTGACGTTTATGAAAACAAGTTGAATGTTTCAATAAAATACTATTAAGAACCTAATAAATGTATTCCGGCCGTTCATATTAGTCCACACTTTATTAATAGGTTGATTAAATAACTAAGGGAACTTATATGAATAAGGGAAAATGAATGAACTAAAGTTTGTAATCTAACTGAAAAACGTTGAAAACACGGTCTAGCCTTCATATAAAGTGTCAGTCTTTTCTTTTTTTTATTAAAAAACTCGATTTCGAACTGTTTTGTTTTTGTAAATGTTACTCTAATTCAATTGTCTGATAGATATTTAAAAATAGGTGGAGAAAATATATTCAACTTATCATTTTGACCATTAAATGTGAACATTTTCGTTTAAATCTTAAATGTATTGGAAGTGTTTTGCACTACTAGAAAACTTCTTTTCGAACTTTTCTCACTTTACTGGGTTTCATCATGAGCCGACATAGATTAGAGAACCATTGGAAAACCTGAGAGTATTGGACAGCCGTTTCGTCCTAATTTGGGACTTTTCATCAATTCGTGCCCACCACCAGGGTTCAAACCCAGAACCTTCCCGTTACATGGCGAGCTTGTAGATCATTAAGCTACTGGGACCCGAGCAAATGGCTAGTCTATGAATTTCAACTTCTGCCAATTCGCGATACAGCGCGACCAATAGCCATTGTCAACGGCGAGTATTTGTCTTCACACCCGACCTACTGTGCCCTACTGGTCACAACCTCTCACTAGAACCCTGGTAACTACCTACCTGAATAGGGTCAGCCGTCAGTGAGCATCAGACTGATATTCAGGTGTTGGTTTGTGGGATGATGAAATCCTGTAACCTATAAAATCCCCTCAAAACAAACCCTTGAATTTTCTCACTTTCTTTGATCATTTCTCCGCCTATTCGCTTTTAACTTTTAGATTATGTATTCTTTTCCAGTTGGTGTAAGTTTAAAAATAAGATTGGATTTAGATATAAGAAATTCCACTTCAAGACTATACAACTTTTTTTACTAATATATATCATAATTTTCACAAATGCTTTAAACTGACTTTTATTAGGAATATTGAAATAATAACACTTCAAAATGACAAGTCACATTACACGCATGCAGTATGAACAACAAAGACTGAATAGTCTGGGAAGAAGTGGCAGCTCTTCTTCATTACGTTCCAGTGATCCTATACGTGTCCCTTCAGTTGCTTCATTTCGTCCCTATCCTGTAAATCAGTTAATTAATCAAGAAACAACAGGATCTACTGTCTCAGGATCTTATATATCATCTAAACCTAGATCACAAGTTGGTTCAGTTGGAAATGTTTATCAGAATATCATAAAAAGTACAAGGCAGTTAGATCCGACTGTTAATGGATCAACAAATCTACAAAATATTGAAAATGGAACTTCTGTTTTAAGTGAGAGCAACAGCAGAATAGGCAGTATGTCAGGTTATCAACCATCAGTATTACTGACAAAATCAATTCAAGGAACTCGTTCAATGTACGCTCCCAGTCACTTTAGAATGTCGAAAAGCTTAAAAGCATCTAAAGTAAGTTATTGGTCATATTAAAATTAATTTCATTTGCCGTAATAGTGATTTTCATGAAAGCATGGGGAAAAAAACTAAAATTTTCCTAAGAAGGCAATGATTAACTCTTTTCGTTATGGGTTTTCATTATTCACCTACAAATGGAGAAAGTTAATACGATCTATCTCTTCAAGGCTAACTTTACATACCGAGTTTATTTTTTCCCATATTCAGTTTATTATGCCACATATAAAGGATCCAACAGATATACCTCAATATTCTTAAAAAAATATACGAACACCTTCCTCAAATTTTTCAAAGAATGCCTCGAAATTCAAAACATATGTGGAAATTGTTTTACGCTAATGACAACGTTAACTCCACCTCCCTTGTACGATACAGATCGATATAGTTCATATGTTTCAATCATACTATAACAATAGAAGATAGGAGAGTTGATGATGGAATGTTTATTTGGAATTTGATCCATCTATACAGGGAAATCATGTACACCTTATCTGAAAATTGTCGTATTCACGGATCTTCCGTGTTGTGCTACTTCTGCCCATCGTATTGTGTTTCTTTGTCTTCTTTTCGTGTCTCCCATGCTTCTTCCGAAACGTCGAATCATTTGCTCTCTTTGACATTAAATCTATCTCTTCGCTATTTGATATTTTTGTGTATGCCAATGAACGTCCCTTATATATTACTGATAAGTCTTGTCAGTAGCAGACACGAGAATAAGTCTGAGTATGGGTTTAAGGCGATAACGCTATCATCATTTCAATAAATAAATGGTTTATTGAATGTGTGAATTATGGCAGTTGAGCATTAGATGTCTCATCAATACACATTCATACATTGTTATACGGTTAGTGTAAAGCTGTCTTCATTAGACTTGAAGATACTTATATAGTTAAGATGGCTAAAGAATCTTATGTCAAAGTAAAGTAGATGTCCAATGCTTTATGAATCTGAACATTTCGTGAACAATTATTCATTAACTCAAGGTGTAACGACAGAAGATAAAGGACTTGATAACTGACCTTTATTAAGAAAAATCACATCATATTTATACATTCTTAGCCATATTAAAGTTCGACTAGGTTAGAGGAGAATAAATTGTTCTGACTGGTTAGGAATCGACCCAAGGTCAAACAAGTTGTCCAATGAGGTTATTTCATGTCCACAATATGAACTAAATACATCTTTGAGGAATAAACACTTTTACCTCTGCAGCTATTGACTTAAAGCGTTGAATTCAATTTTAGCCTCTTCTAATCAATCTGCATGACTCATGATCTAGTTCTTATGTTCACTGTGATAATCATGGTCACTTTTAGTTTATTTCTTATCTTTTTAGGCCTCATTAGCAACATACAAAAGTGGCAGGACAACGATACAAGCTGAACATCATGATCGTAAAGTACAAAGAGAAATAAATTCAGTGAAATTTGGTCGTGCAAAAAGATTGTATTGGATTGCAATCGGCTTTTATACTATGTTCTTGTTAGTATTATTTATCGGTCTCCTAATCACATGTTTACGACATGTTTATATGAATATAATTTTATCATTAGATATTGGTGAATTAACTGGTCCCTTATTAATTGCTTGTTCATTTTTATTCTTCGGAGCTGGAATGAAATTCTATTATGATGCTTATCGACTTGGCTCTGAAGAACGTAAACGTATCAAGGTGAGTTTTTATTGTAATCAATGAGTAATGAAATATGAAGGGAAACATCATCGAGTGAAACACTATTGTACGCCAGTGAATGTGCTTTATCGTGTTTCGGAATTGAATAGAAAAGGGCTATTTTTCTCCTTTAGAAAATGAATGTAAAACATTACTGATACAAACAGTTAGTACGTTACCACTAATGATCGAGATCAGAGTCTATTGGTTGATAACATTAAAACTATTTATTGACACTCTTTTCTCACGTGTCTTTCTTTCTCGTATGCCTGAAATCATAAATGGGAGAATATCATTAAAAATGCGTGAATTATTTCTAAAATAAGTTGATATTAACTGTCAGTTAGTTCATCATATAAGTTAACATATTTTTTTAAAATTGATGTTTATAATGTTTGTAGTGCGTTGGTGGTTCAGTGACAGAGTGATCGCCAACGACACAAGTGGCCCGGGTTCAATTCTCGGCCAACATACTCCTACACCTTGTCTAGCAGGAAGTGAAGGCCGGGCGTAAGGTGGTTAGCAACACCACCACTGAAAATGAAAGTTCAAAGCTAAAACATGAGGCTTCATATTCTATGCGGAATGCAGCGGAATGAAAAAAAGTGTTTATTCGATTATAATAAACTCAGATAACAGTTTCAAATAATTCAAATCAAACGAAACTATGGGAGTGGGATGGTTATAAGTGAAACTTGTCATGGATGAGTGTAATGCTAAATAAGATTCAACCAACAATAGAAGATGCCTAACAAACACTAGGTTTTCAAAAGTTGGTTTGTAAAGAATAGATGTCTTTTAACCAATTTGACCACGGATTGATATCAGCTAGAGAACCATTGAAAACCAGCACTGGAGTACTGGACAGCTATTTCATCCTATTTTGAAAATCATCGGCAGTAGGCACCCACTGGGGTTCGAACCTTCCGGTTACAAGGCAAAGTCGTATACCATTCAGCCACAGGGACCAGATTCAATGGCCCATGAATTCTAACTTATTCAAACTAGGATGAAACAGCTGTCCAGTACTCCTTGGTTTTCAATGGTTATCTAACTGATATCAATCCGTGGTCAAACTCGTAAAAACGGTAGCTTTATTTATTCATTAGTGTGAGATAACTTGATTTCACCAAGTTTAGTCATTAGCAACACCAACCAGTTTCGCTGAATGTTTAAGCATTGATGAAAACAGTTATAAAACACAGGTTGAATCATACAAAGGCAAACAAAGCATCCACTATAAAGAACGAGAAAAATAAAAAAGACCATAGACCGAAACACTATATGAAGGATACAATCTTAAATAGATACTTTACTGATAATTTGCTGGTTTTATTTATGTTCTTCATTCAGTCACATTTAAACAGTATTCTTTGAACTCACAGTCATAAATGGGCATTACAAAGGATAACAATTTCAAATTTCCAATGAAATAATTTTCATACTAAGTTGGGAATTATTTCTCATTAGTGTACAATTCAACAGATAAGATAAATAGTCTGTTCCTAATTTCAACTCATCCATATCTGCTATATTATGCGGTAGAGTTGCAAGAAAGCCATATATGTTAACAGAAGATTGGTCTTCTTGACTCAATAAACACACTAATTAGCTAATCAGTAAAGATTTAAATTCACTTTTATTTTTAATTTGAGAGGTCAAGAAGTTGTGATCAAACCAAAAGGAATCTTCATTAGACTTAAAAGTATCTTACGATCTAATGAAGCAGTTTCACTAGGATCCATTTACGCTTAAGGTTACCTGAGAGACAGATATATATATATATATAATCTAACAGTGGGTTTTACAAAGGTGTAATATGTTCTTAAACGTAGGTGGATTTAAGAGTTCACAGACTGAAAAGGATTCATTAGCACGTGTAGTAAAAGAGCCTGTCTCACAATGATTCAAGGTAGTTATTTAACATTTACTTAATCAATAATATTTTTTTCATAAGCAGTATTCTATTGATTACTTCGCTGATTTATAAAACAAAATCTATGCACAAGAACAGTTATTCATCCAATAATATGCATATAGTAAATCAATAAAATACTTTTACTGTTAATCAGCTGCATCAATAAACGTTTAAAGTTGGGTGTGATGTACTACTGATTAGTGTAAAATGGTAGACGACAGCTCACCTCAGATCTAGGTGATGTGAATATTTTGCGTTTCCAAAAGAAACTTTGGCAGAGTTTTGCCACTAAGTGTGTATACCTTGTAAATGATGATTCTTATTCTAAAATTGTAACCATTTATTTATGTATTTCATTTTACTGAACAACAACAACGTAACAACAGGACTGTAATACTTTTCTTCTATATGCTTTTGTATATCTCTACAGTATAAAGCAGCAAGTCCTTCTACTGTAACAGTCACTACAGTAAGTCAGCGGGCTGCGGATCCAGAGTAAGTACAAATGTCCTATATTAATTGTTTTATACTTCTGAAATTAGGACTTACAAAATCAACAAAAGAAACTTAGGAAGTTTGTGAGAATTATTTAGGCTTTAAAGTAGTAAATTTAAAGAGAAAAATAAATGGCTCATCTTCTTTTTGAAAATCTTTAATAGTGCATACCCAGCATTGCATTCAAAAATTAGATCTAAAACTGCTGCGTGCCGCAGACAGCAGCATTCAGCAGTTGCCAGTGGTTTGTTGTATTCAACTGATTATTATCATCATTTGTTCCTTGGGATCTCAGTCGAACAGAAGCTTCAGAGGCACAAAGCCTCTGTATTCTGTTCTCTTTTGTCTTTTCATGAAGCCCCAAGACTGCTCATTCCATTCCCTCTTCATATGATCTCCTCATTGTCAATCTTGGAGTCCCAGTTTATCGATTCTCATTCGAATCCCATGCTAATGCATGGCATTTGATGTCACTGAACTGTATCCTCAACGAATATCCAGTTCATCTCCATTTCCTTCTACATATTTTTTGGGTAAAAGGTTGTTGATAGTAAAAAATAATGGCTGATTCGCTGACAGAATTCTAAGTCACTAGTCCTTTCTGAAAGGATAACTGATCTTCCGTATCTAGTCATGTTACTGGTTAATGAAATCCTGCAGCTGGCTGTTTGAAATGCTTTCAGTAATGCACGCCAAGTCTATAAAGCATAAAGAAGAACTGATGGTATTAGTTTTAAAGATTAGGATGGTGTTCCTTGTTCTAAGTGATGTAGATCTCCATGCTGATTTCAAAGTAGTGAAAGCCTGTAACACTTTTCGATACGGATTGGATTTTACATCCTCATTTGTGCCGCCTGTATTTGAAACGTTGTTTACCAGGTAAGTGAAAGAGATGACTTCGCTTAGATTTTTCCAACTGATCATGGATGGTGCTTGTTGTTTTTGGTTGGGTATCTTCATCATCTCTTTCTTTTCTATGTTCACCTGAATTCCCGTCTTTGCTGTCTCTTCAGATAACTCAGTTGGTTTTCGCTTGTAAATCTTTGATTTTGCGAGACACAAGGAAAAAGTTATCCGCAAAATTCAAATCTTCTGAGGTCTTTTTGCCTGTCGAACGTATATCTTCGTTGTATGGTATTCAACTAACGCTAGTTAAAAGTGTTTAGCAACCTTTATCCAGTGTAATATGCTTGTCGTGGGATTTGATAACTGAGTGGTGGTTCAAAACCGTTCACAGTGATTTTACATTATCTTCTAAACACTGAACTTTTTCACTGACGCACGCTGATTGACTAAGTTTTCATCGTGCAGCTTCACAATGAAGTCCAGAAGTTCAAGTCACCACAGTCTGTGTAGTACACAAAGATAACGACCAAGTACTCAGAGAAACTACAATGAATAGAAGTGTGTGGAAGAAAAAAATTGTTATGGGTAATAATGGTAATTTGGAAGTAAATAAATAGTGAATACATCTACCCTATTGACAACAACTTTCAGTCACATTAGCAACAGTCTCAAGTCATCGGTCCTTAGCACCTCGACGATCCCAATCACGCAGTCTACACCACCACTCGTGTCTGGCTCCAAACAACTGTGACTTCATTGATAGATGGTAGGATTTGATTTGGCCACCCGTGACATTTTCGAAACCTCGTCTTATTTCAGCTAACATTGGTCGATGAGAAAAGCGATGGTTCAGAGTAGGTGACACGCGTCCTAGCTATTGCAATCGATGTAGTCTCACAACTACATCAACTGACCTCCCTTCATTACTTAGTGCTCTACGCCTAACTTCAATATTACTCACTGTATAAGGTCACTTAATAAAGGAGAAATAATGCAAAACATCTCTGACCGAAGACAGATAGTTTATTGAAGTCGGCCTCTTTCAGTGGCCACGTTCCACAGCCAGTGACTATGCCTATAATCCGGAATCTTCCAAGGTGTGAAGATATTATGAACAAACCCTCTTTCTGGCTTAAAGCCTGACTGGTTCTCCAAGGTTTGATTCTCTTGAGCTCCTCTTACTCAACGCATGGTTGCCTAACCTAGAACTTTAGATACTATGCTCTCCAAGCTAATATTCTTATGATTATCACAGAAAGACTTGTCTTCGTTCTTATAAACTGGGACGATCAATGATTGATACCAGCCTCAAACAGGGATATTTCCGATTACCACACACTATCTAATATCGTAGTTAACGCAGACAACATTTTATCACCACCATCTTTAAACGACTTTGGAGTTATAACATCAGATCTCACCACACTACCTCGCTTCAGATTAGAGATAGCTTTTGCATCTTTAATCCTGGCTGGAAAACTGATGACTGCATTCCATGTAGGTAGATATTGAATGCTGGGGACCAGCCGAGCTGCTCCACGTCCCAGTTGTCTATCCTGAGAGGTAATTAAAGCACCACTCTTTTCATGAATTCTTCGATTTTTTACAACGCGTTTCATTAATGAGTCTGTTGATACCTATAGTCTATACTTTTCCCATCGATTTCGCTTTCTTGTCCGCTATTATTCACGGTGTTTGCGGTGACTTTCATTCAGCTGTGTGACTATACAGTGAAATTCAGTAGATTAAGGATTTTCCTGCCGTAAAACCCAATGCTATTCCTACATCCGCAGTTGCTCTTGAACTAGTTGAAGAATCTCCTGACACCCGTAAGTTGGAGTTATCAGATTCACCATGTTGACCAGGCTGGGTTAAGTGAACAGTTACATCTAAGTCTTGTATGTGTCTCCGAAATATAGCGTACATTCATACCAGAGTGCTGGCTAGTGAGACCTATTGTTCAACTTGGGAAAGGACCCTGACGTTGAATTGTTCAAAATGAAGTCGGCAGCATGGCTTTAAGAGACTGTCAGTTTTGTTTCTCTGGACCTGGTGTCCATTAATGCCTGCAGATTCAGGAAGAGATGGAGGACCTACCTGTGGAGTAGTATTAATAGTAAGTGGGGCAGCGAGCAGATGAAGGTAGGTGGTGATTAGGAAGCCCCTGTGTACTTATGGAAGTGTGTGAGAGGTTATTGCTTTTCGGTTGCCCACACCGTGGAATTGAGATTTGATAGTTCTGATCTTGATCAGGTATAGTTCTTCAGTTCTTCCAATAGTTCTTCAGTTGATGTTTGTTTGTAATTAAATGTATTCTCACCTTTGACATGCTCGGATATATGAATATCAAAAATAGAGGATTTAAAGACTTTGAACATTACGGCTGGCTTCATCTGACATGTATGTATGACAATGGAAAGTCAATAATTAACATTTAAGTGTTTTTAGATAAATTGCTAAATGTTAAAACTCACTTTGTGTATATAACATGCTTGAATTTATATTTTGATGAAATCTGGAAAAGTAGGTAGTGAGAAAATTAGTCTTTATCTACGAGTGTTTTATGGAATGAATATATCTCATGCTAATTTACAAAATCAAATGACTAATTAATAAGCGCTAGGAGATTACGCATCCAGATCCCCCTACCTTGCAGATGAATGGAATTTAGCATATTAATTTGTGGTTATTTTCTTACTCACCATTTATTTCTAACAGTGATATGAATTCCTAAATATAAGATGGATAATATTCAACATGAAAACAACTTCTTGATCATATTTACATGTTTGTATTTCTTCGAAGTCATTTAGAATCAGACCACGTGAAACTAATTTCAAACATTTAATGACACTAGCTGACAATAATTTACAATTCTTAAATGTCTTACAGATCTAATTGTGGAAGAAATCTAGCGATATTATAGTTACAATCAAGTGGTGCTATACAAGAGGAATGATGGCTTAAGTGGTCACTTAGGTGTAACTACTGTTAGACTGTTTAGTCTCTAGCTTTGACTAATTCTTCCAGTCAAGCTTCTGGTGCAGTCACTAAGCTAGGGGACTCACCATCGTGATTCACTTTGAATGGATCTTAACTGGTAGGAAGCAGTAAGAAAGAGCCCCTGGATTCAGGTTTCGTCCTTATTAACACCCATCAGCTAAATGTATCTACTGCCTTGAAGGAACTAATGTCCGCTTGAATATTCGAACCCATGTCATCCACTACTACAATTAGACACGTTACCAGTGGGTTAAGGACTAGATAAAATAACATATTAGCTGATTGTAAAGCTTATCTATATCTGTATCAGCTGGTATTGTAGAAACAGTTCATGTAATATCTGAATAAAATAAACAGTCAACAATTTTTATATCAAATATGAGATTCAGCAAAATCGAAATCTTTAGACACACAAATGCTATACATACACACATATGTTCCGATAGTAATGCAACTTGAATTTTGAAATAATTAACTTTTTTCACTTGGTTTTGGATTACAAAGAAATTAGTAATAAATATCAGACAAAAACTGAGTTTCAGTATGATTTAAATCAATCGCATATTAGCCTCTGTGACTCACATTCACATCCCGACTTCAGATTTCATCTCTTTGTAATGTGGCCAGTCTATAGAATCAGGAATGTCCCAAATTCTTTCCTCGATAATATCTACCTAACTGTGAACAGCCTGACGAATCACTTAATATGCTCAAGGCTGGTTGAATTTAGATCTTCCCCACAAAATTCTTTCAGATGATCATGTGTTCATAGCCTTCATGTCAACCAGTTAACTCCTATACTCTGCTTTGAGGTGTTAATGAATGTTCCTATAAAAGTGGAGGGGCTAATGCGAATGTCCGGTGCTCACTACTAAATTGGTGAATACAGTGGGTTGATTGCAGGAGTTTAGAAGGCTCATATTCTAAATATTGGGGTATATGAAGTCAAGAGTTGAAAAGGAAAGACTAAGATACAAACCTTGTAAGGTTACTGGCATTCATGAGAATGCAATCCCTGACGTTAATTTTCCCCATGCCGATGTTTGGTATCTTAAGACAAACAGCTGCTTTGTCTCGTCAATATTACAGACATCGCATAAATTATTAAACGACTATGTTGTTTAATTATGTTGAGTGATAAGATTTTTGGTGCCAATAGCCTGCGCAGTCTGCAATTATGAGCAAATAAGTCAGGTAATATTTTGCACAAAGTTACAATCATCACAAATACTGCATCTTAGTCTACCATTTTCTTTCTTTCTTTCTTTCTTCAATTAAAGGGAGAAACTCGTTAGTGGACAGACATCGAAAAATGCTTTGAGTCGTGCACCGATTGGATCGAGAACAACTTTAATTATGCCTTGAGTCATCAAATTTGTAAATTCCTTGTTTTACTGCTTTCATATTTCTTTTCTTTTTCTTTCTGAAACCTTCAATTCCCATTATCAAAACTATTGATCTAAAATCCTTATGTAAATTTCTTTGTAGATTGCTTTTCTGAAAACCGTCCATTTTTAAAAATCCAATATTGCCTTTATAATATACATAGGAAGACTGAATTTCAGTCCATTTGGTACTCATTTAAACAGAAAAATAGGTCAATGCAATATAAAAGACAATCAAATAAACAAACCTTTTAGTATAAAACAACGAAACTCACTGGTCTTATTACTGTTTAAAACTACCTGATATGAATATGGGTGTGATGCTGAAGGGATAGGCAACACATAACTTTATGTAAGTGTGTTTTGATATACTCACAGCCTTATAGTAAGTGCAGACGTTTCAATGAGAAGTTAAGGTCGGCAATTTCATTGAGCGATTTCCATCCTCATTCTTAGTTGCAAAATCTCCATTATCACAATTATATTACAAGATTATGTGAGTATAAAGATGGAGGATACGGTGGGTTAACCGTTCTAATGATGATGAAAGGGATTGTGGAAAGTTATTTTAGAGGCATAAACTTCCGCAAAATCGCTTCACAGTTAGAATCTTGTCTACCTTTTGTTGTTATATGTTTAGTTCGGATTTTTTTTGGTTTGTAAAGAGTTAGATTAATTTCAATGTAGATTTCCTAATCACTAACAGACACAATTTAAGGAGGTATGAAAACCAGCGAGCACTCAACAACTGTTTTGGACTCTTGAGCAGTACTCAACCATGTCTATATACACACACAGTGGCTGACTGGTAATGTGCTTGACTCGTAACCAGAAGGTTATAAGCTCGATCGCTAGTGCGGTCATATATGTGTATTGCTGAGCACTTTCAAACTAACACAAAATATCCGTCGAGTGCTGACTGGATTCGATTGGTTCTTTAACTGATGTTAGTGATGAAGTCTACTTTTAGCCCAATCAGTAGTGACTCATTCCATTATTTGCTTTTGTGATTAAACTGAACTTTGTAACTGAATGTCTGTTTTTTTATGAATCGGTTAATTACATAGTCTGTTGTGATGATGCCTTTTTAAATTTTACTACTTTGATAATACACATTCCTAAAAATTAGGCTTTTTGTTTTTCATTGTACGTATTGGTGAATCGCAACATTTGGTGCATTTAAAAGCGTCAAGAAGTAGTAATGGACATCATTGCAGTTAGATCGAGTACGTTTCAAATCAAATTTCTACAAGCCAACAATTAAAAATAATTTTAATCCCCCCCGACCGAAAGCTGCTACCTTGACGTGGTGGTCGGGCTTGAACACTGCAATGACCCAACAAGCTATACTGGCTGGAACTTATGTTCCTGCAGGTCCTACCATGCCAGAAAGGTTGTTTGGATAGCAGTTAGACTAAAAGCAGTTACCCAATCCAATCCTATGATTTCAAATAAATCACAAAATATCATGCCGGATCGGTCGGGGCCCGGATTAACAACGACCGCGCTTTCTGCTGCCGTGTCACAGGGCAGAAGTGATAAATACGCTACTGAGATACACCAAATAAAAAAGAACAAACAAAAACAGGCCGTGTGTGACCGGCCTCAAGCAGTTATCCCCTGGGCTCTGCGGTCACGCAACCAACTTCCATGGTGTGGGCAGCCGGGAAGTAACAATCGCCCTCACAATCCGAAGTGCACGCGAAACCCCTCTAATCCTCGCTCATCTTTGCCTTCATCTTCATCTCTATTATCTTGCCTTCCTTCTACCAATGCAACTCCTCTACTTGTTGGCTCTTCACTTCCCCTTCACTCTGTGTGCACTGATAACGATGGAAGCCAAAAAGCCACCACCGATTGTCTCCTAAAACCACGCCACCAATTTTATATAGGAGCATTTAATGTTAGGACACTTTGCCAAATAGGACAACAAGCATCACTAGCCAAGACTCTGGCATCCCGAGCCATTGATGTATGTTGTGTTTCAGAAACACGCATACAAGACCCAAGTGTGGTTATTCACCTAACCCCACCTGGCCAACAGGATGAATCTGCAAAATTCACCTTGAGGGTGTCAGGAGATGCGACGGCTAGCTCACGAGGATTAGCTGGTGTTGGGATAGCTTTAAGTACTAGAGCAGAAAAGACATTACTTGACTGGATCCCGGTAGATAGCCGAATGTGCGCTGTCCGCCTGAACGGATCAGTGAAAAGGAGAAAGGACTGCACTACTCGCCGATGCCTTTTCGTAATCTCCGCCTACGCCCCCACTGACTGCAGTTCGGATGAAACGAAGGATGAGTTCTACCAAAAGCTGTCTAGTTTGCTGCGAAAGGCTAGACGCTCAGATATAGTCGTTTTAGCTGGTGACTTTAATGCTCAAGTAGGGAAATTGTGTCAATCTGAGAAGAATGTTGGTGGCACATACGGAATTCCGTGCCAACGAACCGACAACGGTGACCGTCTCCTACAGTTCTGTTCAGATAATCATTTGTATATTGTAAGCACTAACTTCAAACACAAGGAGAGACACTGTTTGACCTGGCGACCACCATCATCAAATCAACGCTGGACACAAATAGACCACATAGCAATAAGCTATCGTTGGCGTGGGTCGGTAGGAGATTGTCGCTCCTTCTGGAACACGTGTGTAGATACCGATCACGCACTGGTCCGCGCTCGTGTGTGCTTACGACTGAACGGACGTAGGAAACAGCTGGCGGTAAACCCATCACGTCCCCAGCTCGACCAGGGAACTAAGTCCCTATTTGAGGAAGAACTAGCTAAACACATATCTGAGTTTGACAGCTGCGCTCACCCTGAAGAAGCCTGGAAGAATATTCAGTCAGCCATAGATACAGCTGTAAAAGCTGTGAATAAGGTAAATCCAAAGGTGAGTAAAAACCATTGGATTCCGACTGCCTCATCCGAACTGATAGATGCTCGAAGACTTATTCCGGCGAGCTCCGAATTCAATGAGGAGCGAAAGCTGCACAAGAGGAAACTTACGAAAAGTCTCCGCAAGGACCGTGAACAGTGGTGGTTGACAAAGGCGAAAGAGATGGAAAAAGCATCGGCGATAGGCAACACCAGACAACTATTCAGGCTTATCAGGGAAACAGGTGGTAAAAAACAAATGATAAGCGAAACAATCTCCGAGAAAAATGGCGCCATAATTAGCTCCCAGGATAGACGTCTGCAGCGCTGGAAAGAACACTATGAGGAGCAGTTTAATTGGCCCACAGCCACACTTAACCTACCGGACATCCAACACCTCCCTGAATGGGAGATAGACACAGGTCCTCCGTCCTTAACCGAGGTTACTAAAGCTGTCACCAATCTGAAGCTAGGCAAAGCAGCGGGACCTGATTTATTGACTCCAGAGGTATTTAAGTACGGAGGCGACAGTTTACTGTCTGCGTTAACGGAGGTTCTAGGCTGCGTCTGGAAATCAGAGGAAGTCCCATCGGGTTGGTGTAAGTCACTGATCATCCCGATATACAAGAAGGGGGACAAGTCGTCTTGTGATAATCACAGAGGGATTAGCTTGACTAATATAGTATCTAAAATCCTAGGCTCAATAATACTGCGTAGATTAAGTGGTGCTCGGGAGACACAAACACGAGAAAACCAGGCAGGTTTTAGGCCAGGTAGAGGGTGTATCGATCACATCTTCACCCTTCGACAGATTCTAGAACATAGGCATTCCTACCGGCGTCCGACAATCATTATATTTCTTGACCTAAAGGCGGCATTCGATTCTGTCGACCGGGAGGTTCTCTGGCGATGCTTGGCTGTAAAGGGAATGCCAAGAAAATACATTGCACTGATTAAGGCACTCTACTCGTACTCATGCAGCCAGGTGAGGGCTTATGGCGAGTTGTCATCTGAAGTGGTGACGACTAGTGGCGTCCGTCAAGGATGCCCATTATCCCCATTCCTATTCAATTTCATCATAGATGTACTAATGGACTTAACCCTAACTCACTTCAGCGACTCAGGGATTGACTTGCTACCAGGGAAGAATCTCGTTGACTTAGAATATGCGGACGATATAGTCCTTCTAGGCGAGGACTCTGACAAAATGCAGAGTCTACTGAACACCCTGAGCAACAATCTCCGCATGTTTGGCATGCGATTCGCCCCTATAAAATGTAAGATGATGCTGCAGGATTGGACTTCATCGACCCCTAGATTAGAAATAGGAAGTGAAGTGGTAGAACACGTTGACCGCTTCACTTACTTGGGAAGTACCATCAGCCCCAACGGGTTGATCTCCGACGAAATTTCAGCACGAATACAGAGGGCTAGGTTCGCATATGCCAGTTTACGCCGTCTCTGGCGTAGACGTGATATCCGACTATCGACCAAAGGGCGGGTGTACTGCTCATCGGTCCGCTCCGTCCTCCTTTATGGCTGTGAGACCTGGCCATTGAGAGTGGAAGACATGAAAAGATTAGCTGTCTTCGATCATAGGTGTCTGCGTTCTATCTCCCGCGTGAAGTGGTATAATAAGGTGAGCAATATTGAGGTTAGGCGTCGAGTGCTAGGTAAGGCGGGGAAATCAATTGACGAGACTGTGAAATTACTTCGACTGAGATGGTTAGGACATGTGCTACGTATGCCTAGTCATCGCCTTCCTCGACGGGCAATGTTAGCTGATATAGGGTCAGGCTGGAAAAGAGCTAGCGGCGGTCAAAAGAAAACATGGCACCAATCAATGAAATCCACAACAGTTAATCTAAGCCACGTAGGAAGATGTAGACTTCCTGGTTGGGGCCCTCGGGATGGTAAAAACCAATGGTTGGAAACAATTGGCGACATGGCTCAAAATCGTTCTCAGTGGCGCAGATGCATCCACTCCTTGTGACTTATCATTTCCAATTAAACTGTTTTGTTCTCCGTTATTACTATTCCTTTGTCTCACACCTCTGTTTACTGTCTATATGATGTATTTCTCCTACTTCCTTCTCTTGCTTTGCGTGCTACATGGATTGTGGCGACTTGAACTGCCGCACATATGTGCAAAGTTCTATGTCGAAAACAGACAGACAGACAGAAAGCAAGTTAGTAAAATCACGTATATAACACCATATTCGTGAAAGAATGTTGAAAAAGTGTAAAAAATACTAAACAGGATATCTGCTTGATAAAAGTAGGAGTAAGTTAGAGTTAATTTTAGGTAAAGATTAAGACTGTCTAGGGATAAATTAGGTTTAGGTTGACTTGATGATCCAAATGGTCCTTATTAGAGAAATGAGTTACTGATGAGTTTATCTCCCTTGAGTTAGATCACAATAGATTCCTGGCTCTCACTAACTTCTAGCACAGTGAGCACATTTGAGCCAATTTGTACTCTGCACCAGTCTATCCAAGGAGAGACACGTTTCTAGCCAGTAACAGTTCCTGACATATCGACCTTCAATTGTGGCTCATACACGCCATATTTCCATCAATTATCATTAAAGTGGTTCAGTAGAAGATTGAGTATCGTTCTAGAATAGGATTGTTTACATTCAAAACCATACATTAAGGTAAATGTGAAACCTTTTGAAGCTCAGCTCAATGATAAGTCTGTGCAGATAACATTTAAAAGAAGATGGCCAATGATTTGACACATGACAATATTACTCATCATGGAGAAGCATGTCATGATCGTGATTCTGCTACAAAAAGGGCAGACATATACTGTTTCTGATCTTCAGAAGCATTTAAAAGAGATCACTTGATCTCAAGAATTTATTTAGAAATAGCCGACGTACAAAAAGGTATCCCTGCAGACCCAGAGCAAACTAATGTATGAAGGTAGCTTAAAAATAGTTTCCATATTTGTCAAAAATAGTGGAGGGTAGTGAAGGCTGAACGAATAGAGATAGTAGCATCAATAAGTGACTTTCATTCTGATCAAAGGGGCTGACATACAACTGCCCCCTACTTGACAATTATTTTGTTGTAGCCTCAATGGAACACTGAGCTTGCATAGATACAGTAAGCCGTAGATAACCTTGATCAAAGGGCCACAGGGTGGTCTAATGAACTGAGATATTAGCTGAACTTATTGAAATGTTAGCTGATGTATGAGAATCAAAGATGATTCTCTTTTGCTAGTCTCAAACACCACTGATTGTCTCACTCCTATGGAAAAGAAAATCCTCCTAGAAAAATTAGCTTGACCTGTAGGGTTTCTAAAATCCCAGGTTCTAGAATAATGCAGAGCCTGAATGTAGCTGAGAAATGAGAAACCAACGGACAGACTGGTTCTAATAAAATCGTGCGTTTATCACTTTTGCAGAACAAAGTCACTGTTTTTCGATTCAATGGGCTCCAGTCAGTGGATAGAGAAAACTTAAGGCAATGCCTTTCACTAATTTGGTATTCGCACAAATTCATGATTATTCATTATAAGCTGTGTCTGCTGCGGGACTTAATCTTTAAATGCAAAAAGGCTGCAAGAAGTTACCCATTATTACATTCCTGGCAATCTCCACGTTCTATGGAAACAATATACAAGTCCGGTGTGAAATGTTGTTTGAAAAATCCGGACAGAACTTGACTGAATAGGATATTCTGCCAAATGAAGTTGAACAAGCGTACTCGCATCTCATAAATGACATTTACTGTTTCTTGTCAAACAGAAATAGATTTTTATGATCGTTTAGAAAGCAGACGAACTGATAAATCAACATACAGCTTCACACAGAGCCCCACTTCAGGAAGGTAGAACGGAAGCGTAGTGGCACGATTATAAAACAAAATGTTATCACTATTGTTTCAAGAATGTTTCGTCACAAAGTGCAAGATTATCATGATTCATTCCTTGCGTTTCAAGCGGAACATAGGGATTCCGCGGTATAAATCCATTGCACTCAGTACTCTACCACAATTTACAACTGGTTACACAAGCTTCCATTTCCTCTACACATAATCTTATCCACGTCACTCCAGTACGCCCAACCCGTCATCCTTCTACTATACCAAAATGACCAATGTTTAGGACCTGCCTATCAAGATATTTTCTGCGTTACCTACAATTTCTGACGAAATCCTAACAACTATTTTATAAACTCCTAAAGGCAATGTCAATTCCCCATATTTGGAAACTGTCGCCTCACCTCTCATAGGAATAGGAGGACAGGTAAAAAAGAAAACATGAGCTGAGGTGACTGAACTACCGCTATGTCTTTATTCTAACTCTGGGATTAGTAAAATGTCAACTTTGTGCTATTCTCAATTACTGCCGAATCCGAATACCTTTTCTGCTATTGATTTTTGAGGATAAACTCCACCAAAGCTTGTATGTCAAGATATTGGTTATTATGTTTCCTTTTTAATTGATCTTAACATGCACTTGATATAGCATTAGCAGGAAACATGTTGGTTCCTTTGTATTAGTACCCACGTTTTAAGGGTAGTACAAGCTCAAACTTAATTCGCGAGTACAAGCCATATAGTTTGCTGGAAACTCTGTAATCTTCAAAACTATTAATATACAACTGTATTTTAAGAAAATATACAGTTCATTAATATTAACTGGGTGTCATATTTACGGTTTGATAGCCAAAACACGTGACAGAATTTGACTTTTATCTATTGGTTTGCGGCTCGAGCCCTGCTGCTTGCAACGTTACTTAACAGCTATTCGCATCTTCAAGCATATGTGAGGGTTATTGACACCATATTGTTTACATACCTCTGAACATGGTTCGAACCTGTGGTTATAAGTCAAGCGCCTAAACGGACGAACCTGAGTAACATTTTGATTCTTCGCAAATGCAAGTCACAGCCTATCGTGTGGAAAGTGAGTTGTCATTCTTAACTGTCACTATTATTATTCCCTTGGGTTCTAAGTGGAACATAGGGTTTCAGCAGCACATCTCCACTTTCATTTATTTTCTGCTGGATCCACGATTGCCCATAATCTCTCATCTCCTACTCGCCCGATCCCCTACATACCACCCACGCACCGACGACCCACCCGTTGTTTCCCATTGGGATTCCACCCGAGCAGTGGTCTGGCACGCGATGTCATTCAAGGGCCTCCTCACTGTGTGCCCGACCTATCGCCATTTTCTTCTGCATATCTGTTGTGCAATCGACTCTTGGTTGGTTTGCTACCAGTTTCTTGTTGCTAATTCTTTCTGGCCATTCGGTCTTCAATATAGAGCGAAAGCAGCTGTTGATAAAATCCTGCAACCTGTTGGAAATGCTTTTCATAACACGCTAGCCAAGTTTCTGACGCGTATAGAAGAACCGACTCCATATTGGTGTTGAAAATCCGAATCTTGTCCTTTATGCTGAATGCAGTGCAGAAGATTTCCAAACTCGTTTCAGATTGATGAAGGTGTATCTTGCCTTTCCGATTTTGGCTGGCTGGCTTTGACATCTTCATCCGTTCCACCTGTAGTTCAAACGATGCTTCCTAGATAAGTGAAGGAAGTAACTTCTGTCAAATTTCTCCCGTTGTTGGTTATCGGTGCTGATTTTTATTGTTGTTGGTTGGTTATCTTCATCATCTCCGTCTTCTCTATATTCTCTATGGAGTCCTGTCTTCGCTGCTTCTTCAGCCGGCTTTCACCTGTAAGTCTTCGAGTTTGTGTGACATTTACCATAAATCACCTGCAAAATCCAGATCTTCTAGAGTCTTCTTATCGGTTGCCCAGCGTATTCCTGCCTTCTCGCTCCCAAAAGTCTGACATTTAATTGAATCCACCACACCTAGGAATATCACCGGTCATAATAGGCAGCCTTGTCTTACTCCTGTATTCGCTCCAAAAGCTTCGCTGAGTTTTCCGTGGTGGATCACCTGGAACTGTCACATAGCCACCTGTTGAATGAGGTTGATAAAGACTTGGACCACTGTATACCGTTGTGTTGAAGCAGTTTCAAAATTAACTTCTCGGTGAACTGTGTTGAAAGCTTTTTTGAAGTCGATGAAGCTGAGGTAGAGGTTTGACTGTCATTCTATGCTTTGTTCGATGATGACAATGCATACAGTTGCAATTTGATCAGCGCATGATGATTTGCCTTTCCTGAATCCAGCTTGTTCTGGTTGGCGCAGTTCGGTACCCCGTGCATCTTGTATTCTCTCCAGGATGATGTGACTTCCCATTTTACTTGGTGTGAACAAGAGCATTATTCCACGCCAGTTCGTGCAGAGGCCTAGGCCGCCCTTCTTTGCCACCTTGACAAGGTAGCCTTTTTTCGAATCGGTAGGTACCTTTCCTTCTTTCCAAACTGCTTGCAATAGTAGCGTCAGCGCGTCTGTCTGGTCCTGCTACCTTACCAGATTTCAGTCACCTGATTGCATACAAGATTTCCGCCTTTGTTGGAGGATTGATATCCACTGACAGTTCTGTGTGTGCTGTTAGTGGCATTTCTGGGCGAGTTGCAGGTGATGTTCGATTCCAAAGTCCATCTTCGTATTGAGTCTTTTTTTCACCATCCTCCTCTCTTCTGTTAGATTCCAGGTGCTGCTACTAATTGTAAATTGGATTGGCTGATACTACAGTACGCAAATTTATCATATGCAGACAGAATAAATTAGCCAAAAATGACAGACATTCTGAGTGAAATTCACTTCTGATGTCATATAACATCTAAGCATAAATCATCAAAGTAGTCTGTTACTCAGTTCGACAGTATTTACATAAATCAACCACTATACCTCATTCTCGAATGCTAACAGAATCTTTTCCATAAGTTTCGTAATAATTTCTAATTAACTGAAGTAAAACGCTGTATTTCATTCATTTAAGCTCTAAAACTTGAAGTTGATTATAAACACAATTTCAAAACCCCTACACAATTCCACTGTGAGTTATTAGATAGCAACAATGTCATATTTATCAGGTGTCCTACAACATCTGCGATTCCCTGCATGATCTGATAAATATGCACATAACTTTTGAGGAATTATTGTATATTGATATCAAATTCACGTTAAGCGAAGAATTCAAGGAAATATATTATTCCATACTAATTTTCAACATATGTACACAAACAACTTATACAGCAAGAATATTCATGCGAATCAACAAAAAGAAGAATTTAAAGTGAATTGGATAAAAAAACGAAAGAATATCTTGAATGCTGTTTTTCGCTTCTTCAGAAAACCAAGGGAAGAGAATACAGGATTAAAATTAATATGAATAAACAAGGACTATGTGTCTTTTTATCCAAAGGTAATAAATAAACTACAGGTAATAAATACAGTAAATATCAATTAAATACAAAATATTATTGACAAAGACTATTTTTTTTAAAATTAATGTATGTATCAAAATACTTCAAAGTCAGTGGGAGAGTAGATCAAAGCGAAAAGTGTGCCAAATTTATGACCGTTTCTCAGACTGACTAGCAAGACGAATAAGTGGATAAGACCTGCTTTCCAAAAAGTTGTAGTCTAATTTTACTGGACTAGACGAACATAAAAATGACATCTTCTGGTCGACAGATGATTTATTTACAATTGGTCGTCGATCCTCACAAACGCCAAGGACTCGACAAGCAATAGAATTATGTTTAGCCAACTGGTGAAGATCAGAGAGTCGATCAGGGGGTCCTAATGTTTCACTAAATAGGGATACAGCTAAATCAGATTGCATAAGCCCACGTAAATTTTCTTCACCTGATGGACGTAAATCTAATGTTTTTTGAATTAAATTTTGTGCCTGACCAAAGGTTCTTGACGCCATTAAATATAGCTCATTTATCGGGAGACCATCAATGAGACTACTGGAAATTAAAGATTTCCATGAGTCATAAGCCCCTGAAACACCGCCTAACTCGGTCAGAGGGGAGTTTTGAGGAATGAGAAAGATTCCAAGCCTTCTGGCATATGACTCAAGACATGTAGTTCTATTCATAAAACTATGCGGCAGTGTATTGTCCGGAGAATTTGAATTTTGAACGTTTTCATTTATTTCGATCCCACTATCACGTTGAAGAGCACGGATAGCATACAAACTTGCTGTGTTTATGTACTGATGTATATTAATTACGTAAGCCTGAAAAAGTTTGAAGTAAAACAAAGGAAAAATCAGTGTTTATGTTGGATGTAAAAGCTTTCATGTAATAGTGATTTGGCAATAAAACTATACATTCACCAATTCTTAGTAAAGATGGAGAACAAACATACATAAACTGTTGACATTTTTCTCCTACGAAAACCAGCCGACGACAAAAACTCAAGGCAACTTGACATTACTTTATAAAATGCTTGTGAAAGTATTCGAAGACTGATCATAACGAAGGTAAAATATATCTTTGAATTCCTTCGAGCATAAACGATTAGTATTTCCACACACTTTATTTCAGTCGTTCACCTGTGTAGTGAGATTATCTTCATTAATTCGGCAATATAGATAACTGACTATTCAGTGTGGACCTTTCACTGAGTTTGAGCTGGAACCTTTCGAACACGCAATTATAACTTAACTTCGGTTATACACTGTACACACTTGAAATTACCTACTGGAATGAGTGAAGGGGATATTACTAAAATAGCACTATAAAAATGAGTGCATAAAATTCCCTAAATACCGTTTCAAAGGGAATAAAATTTACAAGTCAAAAATCAGTCATGATTCGTAATGTAATGACCAGTCTGCATATAAAACTTAGAAGGAAATGAATGTTTACAGCCTATCCGTGTGAACCACTAATGACGATATTGTAGGAACTAGTCAAGTGAATTTAATTCAATGTCATCTCACGCAGTTATTTCGGAAATATCATTTCAAACAAATTATAGTTACCAATCTTGATATAACGACCAATCAATCAGCAAATATATGATTTTATACTTGAGCTTAGTTCCCGAAATAGGCCTTTCATGCCCCACGGTTGTTGATGCTAACCAGCTGTCCGAACTGAATGAGGTGAAATTCGAACCTGTGAGCCACGTCTCCACAAAAAAAAACTCAGTATTATACACCACAAATAAGCAAGATTTCACCGTAACTTCTTTCCATACTCTCGCAGATCACTCTATCCAAAATACTTTCTTAATTATTACTACCCACTGATAATCACTCTTCCAGCATACACGATGCTCACTTATTTCTGATGATATATTTTACTGACCATTTTATGAAAAACATTCATCAGAAACCAGAGTTATCGAAGATAATTACTCATGTTCATATAGCCGTTTCAGAATATATCCGATAGGACCCTATGAATCACTAATCATTTAGGAGTTAAATTCACACACTTATCTGACACTACTTGTTTGTTGTTTGAAATACATTTATATTCACGCCCCCACACAGAGGAGCACTCTCTTTAACAATGTCTTCAAGACGAGGCTGATGTTTACGCAGGTGAATAGTTTACTTTTGCATTCTTCTATCCCACTTATCCGATAACAATTCCTACCTGATCTTACATGTTACGTCGGCGTCAATTTCAGTTTTGGACGGTGCTCATAATTGCAGGTACTTACAAAACAATTAGTAGTAGAGATCTGTTATTCAATATAACTCAGTTCATATTGATTTGTGTGTTGTTTTACTTTCCGATAGGTCTGTAGCTGCATAAGTAGTTGATAATGACAAGTTCAATGAATGTTTCCCTTCTAGTTATTTCAATGACCTGTTCTTTCTTTCTTTCTATTTCTTCATCAGCTAAGTTGGAATGAGTAAAAGAAATTAACTGTTGCCAGTATGTACTGTCAGGAAAGGAAGGAGGCAATTCATTATTGACAACTTGCACCTGAAGTAAATTCTGAAGAATAACTTCATCTCAAGATGTTAGAAATAAATTTCCGAGATCAGGATGTACGTTAAACGAAAGCATATGCAAACGAAATTCATTCAATTTACATTAATGAATTAATAACAGGAAAATTCAGAAATTGCATAAATATATATGCCATTCGTTGTAAACAACCAATTGTAAATATTAAATACAGTAACACTTTGCAAGTAGACACTACAGTTTCAAAGACTGTTTAATTACTGTGTTTCTGAAGAAAATTATGATCTTTAGGATATGTCTTACTTAATAGTCTTAAAAGTGCTATTTCCAAAAGACGACCGGAATCAATTATTGTAGATACCAAGTAATTCAGTCGACAATAAATAATAAGTACTTAATATGTCCAAGTTTAAAATCTCCAACAATATAAGTGTGATAAGACTATTTTACCCTCAATATTCTATCCTTGTTGTGTTTTGTACTATGCCCCTGAAAGGTGGGAAAAATTGAATGGAGCCCTATATTACTTCAGCTTAATTATAAGAAACAGTATACTTTCATAGCTTTTCCTATGTATTTTAAGTCTTCTTTTTAAAACTTTCATGGTTGTATACAGCACTAATACCAAAAAGTCTAATGAGGATTATTCTGTAAAAGAAATATTGTTTAGCCTTTGATATACTCACTTCGAAAGCTGAACCAATTTCATGTATCATTGGTGGCATGGGTTTAATTGTGCAATCAGAATTCATGTGTGGTGTTTCTATGCTGTTAGTGTTCATAGCAGAAGTGTTGCCTTTTTCTTTGTGTTTCTTCTTCTTTTTTCTTTTACGGATCTCAGCAATCTCAGCTCCATTTACAGGATCATATTTAGTGGTCTCATTTTCAGTGGATTTGTTTCCTACGTCAACTGCTTTCACAGATGTCAAAAAGGCATGATTTTGGGCTAGACGACTGATTATATCACTTATATTCCGGAACAAATGTATCATAAATGCATAAATGAATAACCATTCATTTGGAGAGTATAGATCCAATTGAAAACCAGATATAACGTAATCCCAGGCAAGGTAATAGTACACATATGTAACAAAGTGTGATAGATGAATTTCTACTGGAACAGATAACTGTGATGAAGGAATGCCAAACTCTCCCTGTGATTCAAAGGATTTAGCACTTGTGTTGTTTGATAGAACATTTATCAATTCAATACCAATTACAAATTCTGCACGTGCACATTCCTCGAGTAAATCTGGAAGACGCTGCAACCATGGTGCAAGAGCTGAACGTTGACGTGAACGATTTAAACAGTAAATTGCAGGAATCTACACGCATTTAGTAAAACAAGAGGAACACAATCAAAATAAAATTGGTGAGTTCCGCACATAGAGATGATCATGACGGAAAATACAATACATACGAAACGTCTCAAAGAAAAGATGAATACTAACACATTACTTTCCTCGTCTGCATAGTATGCCATGTAAACACGTTGAGTTATAATTGCACAATGAAACTTTGCGAAAACAAGTCTGAAATAACCACGCGTGTTTTAAACTCAAATAAAGGTGCACACATTGAATTCTTCATCAATTCACGATTTCTAGAACACAATCCTATTCAAAACTATACGATCATCACCATGGTTTATGACCTAAAGAGAGCGTTTGACTTCGTCATAAGATAGGTGCTGTGGTAATGCTTCGCTGCGAAGGGGAGTACTAAGAAAGTATCTTATACTCATCAGGGCATTCTATTCAAACTCACGCAACTACAGGATTTTTACCTGAAGTGATGACTATCAGTAGTCCCTGGATAAATATGCTCTGTCACATTTAAAATAGCCATACTAGTGCGTGACTTGCTACTATGTGAACGATTGGTCGGCATTGAAGCACACGGATGATATAATTCTATTGAGTGGAAACGGTGAGCAAAAGGGGAGTTTTATGAACGAATTAAGCAGGAAACTGGATATGTTAGACACGCGTTTTGTCCTTGTCACATGTAGGACGGTGTTACATGACCTTTGTTACATATACAAATGGTAATTGAAAACGACTGTTTATTTATGCAAAAACTTTCTCATATTTGCGAACTGAATAATGATGAAACAGTGTACTGTTACAAACAACGCAAAATGATTTTAGACAATGTAACTTAAGCCATGTAATGTCTTAAACTTACTAACTAAACTGATATGAAAATTAAGTTGTGTGGAACACACTCGACTATGTCACAACATTGTGCAACAAGCACCATCTTTAGTAATCACACAATTCAAAAAACGCGAGTTAAATTATCTCATATTAACTGGTCACCCTTTGACTACTCTAACACCTGGATCATTTAAAAATCTTAAAATCAAATAATACTAACTTGTGTTATACCAGACATACTTAGATAAAGTCACAGAAAGACAAAGAATTACATCAGTGGTATTAACCATTGACTGACTACATTTTGAAGGTAGGACTTCGCACAAAAATGCAGCAGTTAACGTTGTTACATTTTATAAGGCACTCAAATGTGTAGAAATAAAAGAGAAAATATGCAGAGGGACTTTTCATGAATGGAAATATACGGAAGAATAAGAATAACAATGAGAATCTAATGAATTTGGAAATAAATAAGTAGTGAACACATATACACAATATAAACAACAACTTTCAGTCACATTAACAACAGTCTCAAGTCATCGGTTCTTAGCACGTTGACGATCCCAATCACGCAGTCTACACTACCACTCGTGTCTGGCTCCAAACAACTGTGACTTCATAGATAGATGACAGGATTTGGTTTGGCCACCCCTGACATTTTCGAAACCTCGTCTTATTTCAGCTAACATTGGTCGATGAGAAAAGCGATGGTTCAGAATAAGTGACACCCGTCCTAGCTATTGTAATCGATGTAGTCTCACTACTACATCAACTGACCTCGCTTCGTTACTTTACACTCCATGCCTAACTTCAATATTACCCACCATATTGTACCACTTAAAATGGAAGATAGAACGAAAATACTTGTGGTTACAGACGATTTAGCCGCTTTATATCTTTCACTTCTAAGCTATAAAGAACGACATAGAGAACTGCTGTGCAGTACACCCACCCTTAGTCGATGGCCAGATATCACATTTACGCTAAAGATGACTTAAACTTAGCGAATGCCACACGAACGTTTTGTATCCATGCCAAGAATTCCTCAGCAATAAATTTATTAGGGCAGCTGCAACTTCCCAAGTAAGTGAAGTAGTCAGTTAGGGTCAATTCCATTGGTTCAACTATGAAGAAGCTAAACGAAAATGCGGACAGTGGACATCAGTGGCTGATACCACTGGTTTGCATTACTTCCCATAAGCTGTTACATGGCTGCGTGAGTTCTGGTGGAGTGCACTGATTAATGTAATATACTTTCTTGACACCCCTTTTACCACTAAACATTGCTAAAGCAATTGACAATATTGATGAGTGCTTCAGGTTAAGACAAGGAAATAATTCAGCCAAATAAGAGTACCCTATTAACTTAACAACACTAACTAGAAGCGATTGAGCATCCACTTCTGTGCTGAAAAGATAGAAATACTTAACAGGAAACTAGTAAGATAACTATGATGACAATATTCAGAGTTACCATAGTATGGTAATCAGTCTGATGAAACAGTTACTAAAAAGAATTAAAAAGCCTTATGTAGTCTTACGAAGCTACAAGAGGAGCAGTGACGTACTCCTAGAAGGATACTGGACGAATGCATCCCCCTGTTTATTATGGCATTTTAATTCCTAATTGTAATTTTATTAATCTGAGCCTTGATCGGAAATTTTTCCGGAACTTTCCTACCCATTTATTATAAATACACGAACGTACAACCTAGTTGATGATTTCGTTGAAAAGAAAATTTTATCCGCTGCAATTGTCTTTTTATTCCCTATGAACAAATGTGTATATCCCGTGATTTGAATAATGTTCATTAATTTGGCTACAAGCTATTCTTTCGATGCTTACAACCAAAATTAAATAGGATAAGGTACCAGATGCCAAAAAACTTAAAGGTAGTTCGACTAAAATTATCTTTGATTGTCCTACAGACTAGCAGTCATTTTTTCGCAGAAGTGAGGGATCCATATTAAGTCGGGCAGTTTCCTACTGGATTGTTGTTACTCGTTCACTGTTAAAAGAAATATAGACTTCCTTTGTTAAAGAAGAGAAAAAAGTGAATAGCAGTTATAGTGACCTGTATGCTTGTCCTGAATGACGGTAGATGACTTACAGGAAGCCCAAAATTACACTATATACAACCTGTTTCTTATTTTTCAGAAACCAACATACAACGAAAAGAAAACATTTGGCATTGTGTTAGAGACAATATTAGTCAAACATTTGGTTTAGCTAGGGAAAGTCTTCTTCATTAATTCACGAATAAGTACTGCAACGTTGGGAAGTGTACTACTAGCGTCTGTTGCAGCAGTCAAATATCCGAACTGGTAGTAATTGTAGTATGCTGTAAAGATAGTGCAGCGTGTTTAATTTTGTGAAACACAACAAAAACGAGCTTTTGTGAAATCCTTGCAATCTACAACACACACGGAAGTACGTTTACCGAGTGATACACAAAGGACATTATTTAGAGATAGCTATTCAACATAATAACTAACAAAACATTGAGTCGCTTTGTTAAAGAATTAAATTGTTCTTGAGATCATAGTACCTAGAACAAGGACTGTTGTCGGCATTCATTTACCAAAGACGGGCTTTATGTACCCTGCTATGAGCTAAATTTACTGTGTGAGGTCGAGCTGAAGTAGTCAGACCGAGCTTCAAACCAATGACACTGACTGGAAGTCAAGTGCTTAAGTTAATGAGCCACATCTTCACATTCAAGTCGTAATTCAGTCTAGTACATTAGTTTAGGGCAAGTTAATGAATTGAGATGAATCGCCAACGTAGGACTTCGCAAGGAACCTCACCAATTGAGTAGAGCACACAATAGTAGGAGGAAGGATATAATGAAACGATGGATGAAGATGTATGGGACAGAAAAAATATGTAGATGAAGGGTGATGAGGAAAATGTGAATCGGAGATATCACAAGCAGTGAATAAATCTCTGACACTGACAACGATTTTGAGCCACGTAAAATAACCATTGGTTTTTAGCATCCCGAGGACCTCAGCAAGCGATATGATACCACCAAACACAGTTCAAACCAGTCAGACAATTCAAGGATTGGTGACTGATTCGACAACCTCTCAGTCTTTTCCAATCTAATCCTGCATCTGGTCACATTACTCGGGAAAAGTGGTTTGACATACGCAACGCGTTCTACTTAACTGAATCGATGCGGACTCATATATGCATAAATTATTTCTCCAATTTAAATCCTTTGCCAGTTTTTACTTTTTATAAGTAAAGAATGCGTCATTACTCCATATTTGTTTGATCAGCTTAAACCATATGGTTCAACTATCCCCCGTTTATATGGTCTTCCAAAGGTGCACAAAGATGATGTCCCTCTGCGACCTGTATTGGATATGCTGAATTCACCGTATCACCCTACCGCTAAATGGCTTGCGGAAATTCTGGAACCAGTGAGATTAAATCTATGTAAACATAGTCTTTCGGATACTTTTGACTTTGTCAGTTGTGTTGATGAAATTAATGTGTCTAGTAAGCATATGGTTTCGCTAGATGTTTGTTCTTTGTTCACAAATGTCCCACTAGTAGACACTATCTGCCATCTATATGAGTATATTGATTCAAATAGCATGAATATTGGGTTACCAACTGAAGATCTTAAACAACTATTATTGAGATGCACACTGAATGTGCAATTTAGATTTACTGATGTCATCTACAATCAAAGGGATGGAGTCGCAATGGGTTCTCCCTTAGGACCGCTCTTAGCGGACGTCTTCATGGCTAGCTTAGAGAATGGCCCACTAAAGGAAACCATCGGTAGTTTGTCTATGTATAAAAGATATATAGATGACACTTTCATTGTATGTGACGAAAACTCTTCAACTGCTGAACTTCTTGGAATATTTAATGGTTCTCACCCATCTTTGCTTTTCACGGTCGAAGAAGAGTCGAATTCCTCATTTCACTTCCTCGATGTAAAGCTAGACAGAAGAGAGAATGGTACGTTGCTAAGGTCGATTTACCGAAAGCCAACATTCACTGGGCAGTACACTAACTTCAGCAGTTGGGTACCGTTAGGGAGAAAGAGAAACCTTATTCATTCCTTATGCTCTAGAATTCGTAAAATCTGCTCTGAAGAGACAATCGATAGTGAACTAGATAAGCTTCGATCAAATCTCCTTAATAATGGTTATCCTACAGGGTTTATCGAACGTAACATCAAGAAAGAACACGCCCCCAGACAAATTACAGTGCCGAAGAAGATACTGTTTATGAGTCTGGCATTCAAAGGTGACACCATTTCGGAATTGATTAAAAATCGTTTATCTAAATGTATTAAACGTACTTTTCCTGCAGCTGACTTACAACTAATTTTTACCAGCCGAAATATGATTAGACAATGCGTCAAGGATAGATTACCGCTTTTGTCCACATCCATGTGTATTTAATCTTTTACCTGCTCTTGTGGAGCTATTTATATTGGACGTTGTAAGCGTAATCTCCGAAAACGTGTAGCTGAACACTATCCAGTCTGGTTAATGAAAGGCGAACGTAGAACTGCGAAGTCGTCTATGTGTGATCACCTGTTAGAGTCAGGTCATTTAGCCCCACGTGATTCATCTTTCAAAGTTATCTACATGGCAAAATCGAATCGATCCAAAAGTTTACGTTTTCTTCACTTATGCATAGCCGAAGCTTTAGCTATACATGGACAGAAACCTAAATTATGTGTTCATAAACGTTTTGTCAAACCCCTTTCTTTACCTTGGTCATAGTAATGTTGTTTCTTGTTTTTACTTTATTTTATTTTACCACTTGAATTCTTTCCACTTCACTTCACATCTTCATTCTTATCGTAATCGTACTCCTAGTTTTTTAAAATATCTAGACAACACTTGACATTTTTAAAACATTTTTGATTTCAATTCACACATGAAACAATCTTTAATAATTTTGTAATTTATTCACTTCAACTCTACCCCTTATAACATTTTAATTATCGCTATTCTTATCACTTATATATGTATATTGACTGAGCAATTATTTAGTGCCACTTAATAACCTTTTTCTGTAATATAAATACGACTGTACAGCTTGAAAATGAAGTCGTTGAAAAGAAATTTCTTCGCTGAACAAAAACTGTGCTTTTACTTATGAATAAATGGGTATTTTTCGTGAGTTTTTACTTTATTTCAGCTCATATAACATAAAGTCGATACACATTAGTTCTGCACAGATTATTTTCCGTCCTTACTTAACACTACACCTAACCTCATTATTACCCACCATACTGCACAATCTACCACAAGAGATAGAAACCGTCCTTAAAGATAGTTAATCGCTTCACATTTTTTACTTTCAAAGGCCATGCCCCACAGCAGTAAACAAGGAGAGGTGGAACACTACACGCGTTATTTGAAGGGTAGTTAAATATTGCTCCTGAATTAAAGATCACGTAAGTTCACAAATGCCACACGAGCCTTTTGTATCCTTGCTGAGCCTTTGACAGCAATTAGTCTATCAGGGCTGATGGTTACAACGTAAGAAGTTTAAATCTAACCGTGCTTTCTTAAGTACTTCACTTATCTTCCAAAACACTTGACACCTTCTATGAAATCCAGGTGAAGACACAAATATTCATTATTAAAGTCTTTATAGCAAAGAGCAGCTGAATAACATTTCTGTAGTGTCAAGAGATCTGAGTCCGATTTTTAAGTGTCTGAGCACACTGTAAATAAAATCTACTAGCCTCGCATCAAATAACGCGTTGAAAATTACAAACTTTTTCCTCGTGGTACGAACAATCACCGATACACAATCTGCTTAGATTTACACGGCTTCAACGTCCTAAAGTGCGGTTTAGCCTTAGCTTTTCGTACACTCTCTACTTAGCTATTTCAAATTTAATGAGTGGATACTTTGAAACCATGTATGAAAATCTCGATTCCATTTCATAGATGCTCTTACTTACATATCTTACACTCTGACTTCTAACCCCGTACTTAGTATGTTAGTTTCTTAACTTCAAATATCTAGTGGGACGACATTTTGTAATCAGTTGCTATTCAGTCTTCAAAGAGAAAAGTGGGACAAAATTTCTGAATTCATATTCCCTAAACAATAAAAAAAAGTTAAATCAAAGACCTTGAACTTACGTGAGCGAAGTGGTTAGAAAGTGTTGTAAAAAAACTCGTCAGTTCAGGAGTTTTAGAAATGATATCTTTGATTAGTGGACGATATGCAGTACATTCTATCTGGCTCCACGAATTCAGGAAGCAGTGGAAATTCACTGGAGAGAAAGACTGAGGTTTAAAATCAGAGATGTCTTCCTGGGACATGAGAACAAAATAAAGCATATAAGTAATAGTCCTTGACAAAACACAAGTACTCAATGTTGGTTCGTTTACTTCGCTACAATTATCGTGTAACAGGAGATCTTTGACATAAGAACAGGATATTTGACCAGACTTCTGAATGAATGCCCACAAACTCTGAAGACGCAACGGATCAGGATATAACTTATGCCATAGAGAAAATGTTTCATATGTGCATAAAATATGTTCCAGTCTTGTAAAAAGATTAGAAAAATAAGCAAACGATTTGTGACGATCATGAATATCTACTACCTTAGGCATATATGAAGGTACACTAGTTTGATTAAGAAAAACTTCAAAACCTGGGAGACCGTATGTTGCATCCTTAGGTCTATGCTTCCCTTCACCAGCTTTTTCGCCGATATATGCAGTTTCCAATAATTTATTACTCAACGATTTTAGACCACTGATATGCTGTGATATTCCTCGACAAAAACAGATAAAAGAGTCCCATGGGACTATAGCATTGTCTTGAATTTCAGATACTTTCGAAAGAGATGCAGTTTCTCCAGCATCAAAATCTATCTTTGTATATCCTTCGAAATCATCCGGCTGAAATTCCCGTATAGCTGAAATAACGCGCTCAAAAAAAGGATTTGTGAACAGTAATAAACAGTGGACAAATTGTAGACGACTACGTAGTCCGGCAAGAAGATTTTCCTCTCTATCACTAAATACACTGGAATCATTTTCCAGATTTGTGTATAAATCATTCACATGAGTAATTAATTCGATAGTCGTCATTCTGCACACATAGCTAGAATCTTCGTTAGACATATAGCAATAATAATAAACTGGGTGGGGTTGTTCAATAGGCATACCATGAATAAACGTATAATGATCTTCCTCGTCAAAAACACCGACAGCGATGATTATATGACGCAACTGAAAAACTATTCGGCGAAGCGACTCACAAAATGCAACTAGATATTTGTCGATAACTAATGGTGTGCAATGCATGTACATACATATAAAAATGCTTTGAGCTAGGGAATCTCCCGTTAACCAATTTACAAATGCAGACAGCAATTCATCCATGATACCCACAAGTAGAGAAAGAGATGTGAAAGGACCCAGAGGTAGCTGGTTAGTGGATAATGCCTCAAGTATTGTCAAAACTCTCCTGCCTCCCTGAATCCGAGCATCCATTTTGGGATCCATAATTTCAATAGCCGACATGGAATACTGCAAGTCGAACCAACTTTCATGTAGTAGTTCACCTGGTTCTAGTCCTACTCGACATGCAGAAAAAAAGATTTCTGTGATGTCGACGGGAATAGAGCTAGGATCCGTAGGGTCTTGGATAGCTTCAGTACTTTCTTCTGCACAATCAGTTGCCATCTTTACATCTTAATTCTTCGTTAAAAATAAAAGTATGATTCAATATTTTACAAATCCTTCGTAACAAGTTAGATCCACTTCACATTTGCAATCATGATAGTACTTTGAGGTGTATATTCGAACAAAACCTAGAAAAGAAATCAAAAGCCACTCATTTATTATGCATGACAATTTTATTGATCTGACATGAAAGCAAGATGCACTTAAGCGTCATGATCCTACTAACTCATTAAAAACCTACGTTCAAACATGAGAAACAGAGTTTTATGATTTATAACACAAGTGAAATAAATGGGAAGATAAAGTAGTGGGAGTCAATCAATCACGTGAACTACTTCTCAAAAAATCCCGTAAACCAGACACGCAACAGACTTAGGTCTATCAGCGTAGAACGTCGTATAATCTACCTAGCCAGTCCAACTTCCCTTAGCAGCTTTCTGTTCGAAGTCTCAGTTCTGGAAGTTACTAAAGTAATATCTCACTGGAGGATCATTTCACTTAAAATAGCTTTTCCAAAGCAGACCAACTTGATGAACTGAAGTGGTTGACCAGTACTGGTTAACGATGTCCTTCCCACTTCCTTTGCTTTTCTTACCCACTAATTCTTACCCAAAAGATTAAGCCGACTCAAGCCTCCTTTATCCGTTTTCAGACCAGATGCTTAGTCAACTTGCTTCTAAATACAGAACACATTACTATTTGCAAGCTGAACGGCAGGGGCGTTACACCAAGAATGGGAATAAAAAGTAGTTCAGCAAAGTTACTTTCCGACAAGTTCCTGCTTGTTTTCACTGTAAGACCAGCCGCGGTCATATACATCTACGAACGAAAGAGCAGTCGAAATCAACACAAGTCCTTTTTAAATTCACATCAGTATCAGATCAACGAACACAATGCTGTTACAGGTAATTTAAACTGCTCCTCAAAAACTTGGCGGTCCATCAATAAAAAAATTGATACGTCCGTTTAAGAGGGATTCCAATTTACACAATCACCCATTTTTAATAATTGACAGACATCACACACTGATTATGCTTTCTTAATTTCTCCCGGCTTTATTACTTCTACAGATAAGAAAATCTGAGAATTGGACTGAGATCCCACAGAATAGGTGAACTACACAGTTTTCGAGGACAAATAAATATGTGCATTGTCTGCTGCAAGCGAAAAAGTATTCTGTTCAGACTGGTGTTTTATATGCAACACTTCAGGCATCTTGGAAACAAATCCAATCCGTAAAAATCTGCAACACCACAAATAGCAATTTAGAAGAAGGTTTGTCCAAAACCTTGTTGGAATACTGAGGAATGAAAAGTCTCTGATGAAATGGAACAATGAAATGTCAGAAACGAATCTACTGAACGATTACAAACTAGGACCGTGGTTTAGAAGCTTTTAGCCCTGTACTTACTTCTAGACTAAGCCCACCCACAAACTCAGAATCAACCTTGGTAACCTGCACGAAATATACCTGCACTAATGCAGAACTGATGAACACACTAGACGAATTCGAAAGGCGAATATTAAATCATAGGCACCTATCATGAAAACTCACCATAACAAATTTGCATTCAAATAGTAGCTTCACTAAGCAGCCAGAATTCCACCGTCAGCAACTCCGGTGCTTTGATCGGATAAAAGTATCATCGCACTCATTTTAATGGGTAATAATGAGAGTCAAATAACGAATCATCTTACAAATGAATAAGCATCTACAGGTGGAATCCAGAAGCAAAGAGTGTGATACTTGGGTTTACATCCAGATTCTTAAAGGCAAACAGGACCAGGGCTGTGACGGTAACTTTGAGGATACGAGACGCATCCGACTAGTCCGTCCGAAAATTCACTTTACTCATCGGTTTGTCACTCACTGAAGCTGTTGGCTGAGGCTTATGATCCCATCAGTTTTGTAGTCAGTTCCACAGTCTCGTGTTTAAATCGCTGATTCACCATTCTCAAAAGCACCTAAGCACTTACTGTTCGGGCATCCGATAACAGTATTTAACCAGTTACACGTACGACTGCAGTTGCGCGTGTTACCCTTTTATATACTGGTAAGTTCTCATATAGTCTTTTTCCAATGAGGCATGCATTCTTAGGCATATTCTTATGATTTTAGAGTTTCCACGTGATATCCACAGACCAATGTGATAGAATATATGTAAGGAAGCATAAAGTGAAGAATTATGCCATTCACTTTTATAGATAACTCAAATACTTCGGGAAATTATGTCTCACTGTCTGTGGCTTTTAATAAATATTATGTTTATTCAAACTAGATAGGGGATGCTAAATTCTTCGAGAAATCATTAAGGAAGTGCAGGATATTTGGTGAGTGTATGGTTGAACTAGTTAAAGATCAGAGTCAGGGTCAAGCCGAGAAATTGTTGGGGTTAAGTTGTGGGAATATTAGGATTGTTTGAGGCTGGATTGGGGTACATTAAGGAGAGATGTGAGTCACAGTTAGGTAAGAAAGGCGTGGACTCTGGGTTAAAGTTAATCAGTGATATATTCTGGTTAGGATTGAATGAAAGTCTCAAATTAGCCCTCTGATGTCGACTGTTACTTTAAAGGTCTCTGGTGCGTTCGTCCCTTCAACTCTGCCATGATATAACAATATTTCTCTATCCAATATCGAAGATACTTGCAATCTGAATGTAGTGGATCACTTATCGAATGATGCAAAGCAATGAACCTTGAGTCATCGCGCCTAAGTCAACTCTTCTTGTTGCTATAGACGTTCGCTCTGCTCGCAGGGTTGTTTTCCCCATTTGTGGTTTAGTGTGGGCTGTTGGGCAGGTGAAGCTCCAGTTATCACAATTTTTCTGATGAGGTCAGTTTCGGTCCATTCGTTATATAATATATATATATATATATATATATAAGCAAACGCAAGTGTTTAATCAATTAAATTTACTTAATTAAGCACTTGCGTTCACTATGCTTATTCTTTATAAGTTGCTGCAATAATATAGGAGAATGAACGCCCATTATTGTCTGTCTTTTATCCCTTTTAGCGGATCTAAGCGCGGAAGGAAATCTGTCATGGGTCTTGACCTAACAAATATCATTGATTCCCCACCAGGAAGTGCCGACTCGAGTGGAACTCGCAGAAGATCCTTGAGATTACGCCGCAAATCTACATGTGCACTGTCCCATGACGAACAAACACTACCATCTAGAAGATATCGTCGAAAGTCTGTGATAGACCCGCAAACTCAGGTAAGTGCGTCTGCTACGTTGAATAAGTTACTTGTTTATTTATTTTCATTCCTTCACGTTCCCAGTGGAACATAGGGCTTCAAGCTAGAGACTTGAATTTTCTGTAGCAATGTTTATTTTTACAGCATGGGGTTGTTAGCAGAATGACAAGGGTTTGATACTAAACATATGTTCAACGTTAAATTACTTTCGATGTGCAGGAATGAAAATGAGTCAGCACATCAATAAAAGACGACAGCACGTGGGAATATTTAGGACTTTGAGTGGAATTTACGTACGAGTCTTAGCTGTTTTATTTTTAGGCTCGTGCTGAAGATAAATGCCTGAAAAGGAAAATAAAATACAGAACTGCCGCTGACAGGAACCATACCAAGTGTCAACTATTCTGCAACCTATGGTACAGACGTCTTCACCTTCACAGGCATTTACTTCAAGCCTTAGTATGCTTCGTCTTGTTTACAAATGTGTCGTTAATTGCATTTTGGACGCTTCAGTGTCCATGGAGCTCTCCGTTACACAGAATGCATATTTCTCACAGTGAAACGGCTACTATTGTACGTGAAACCATTCAAAAAATCTTAATTTATTCCCTCGGAGCAAACCTTTGAATATTTATGGATCCGAAATCTTACTTTCCCTACTCAATAAATTATAAATGCGCATAAGTCAAGCAGGTTCAAGGTGTCCACGCTTACTCTTACCACATTACTCCCCGACTTGCATTAACCGCCGGACCAATATCCAATACACAAGATCGATTTTTACGATCTAGTGTAAGCCAATTTGACTTCTTTGTGTCCGCTTCTTGGTTGTGAAGTGAACGTTCGTGCTCTTTGGTAATCTGCGCAGTTCATCCCGCCACTAGACTACTGTAGCCTTGGCTGACTCCCAGAAAAGTGATGCGAGGACTGGTTATATTTTGTCTTTTGAGTACAGCTTGATTCCACACCGTATTTTTGGTACAAGTATGGAATTTTCAGCATGTGATATCGGTAGTCCATATTTTGCGGGCCGACCATAGATATCAGGTGTGCGTCGGCATGAGATCGAACCCCGGACCATGTGCATGGTCGGCGAGACTCCTGACCACTGTGCCACCGACGCACATTTGCATTTTGTTGTGCGGTGTGTTAATACCGTGCTGCTAATGTTCTTGGAGTTGATCATTCTACCCGTTGGCTGCACGGTGTCGTTAAAAAAAAGAGATAATACCAACAGATGTGATTATTGTAGGTTATGTAGATTTTTTTAAAACAGAAAGAAAAACTAAAAACAGACCACTTGTGAAGTTTGAAATCAACATTAACATATATATATACATATAGCAAATTTGTATACATACATATATATGAATAATAATGGTGTTAGGGACGTGATATTCTGAGCAGTCGGGAGAGTAGGTACCGGGGGGGAATGTGAAGGAGCTGTAGCGGTAAATAATTCCCCAAAATTATTAACCACAGCAATCATCACTCAACATTGGATGCTGACCATCACTGTTTAAGTCGACTTGTTTAGCTGAAGGCTTACGGTCAAGCATCCCCGCCACATGGTGCTCCGTCGTGTCACGTGCGTGCACGATTACTAGCTAGCTAAGCATTCACCTCTACCCGCGATTTTGTCCCGAAATATAATACGTACTTTGGACGACAAAATCCGGTCTTTTGCTTTACCATTTGGTACTCGAAGAACGAACACTATAGAAGTTGTTGGTATAAGATCTTGCGTTAGTATAATCCGTACAACTCGCGAACGTCGATACCTACAGTCCCCTAAAAAGTAAAACGACGAGTTCAGTTATCCCCCCATTAATAGTGTGTAAGATTTTTAGAGGATGGGTCCTTTGGAATCAGTCCTTGCATGGATGCATGACTGCCTATGGGAGGGGCAGTAGCCACATCTACAGGTATAGAGTTCCAGGGACGGCAAACTCGAAGTGGAAAGAAATGGGGGCGCACTTGAGTTTTTCCCTCTGGTGAGCTATCTATCATGGATTCCCACAAGCCCATTAAGACATAATGGCAGAATACCTTCGTCTGGGTGATTCGGGTCATTCGTAATCCGATAGGCAGAAATTAGGCCCTCTCAAGCTGATGCCAGTTAGGAGTGATTCTCAGTTTCTAACTCTCCGGAAACCCTTGTGTGCTTCACCGAGTCAATCAGTCTTGTCAACGTGTTCCTTGATGTGATCACCGATTATACTTTCCAGTACTTTTGATACCACTGGGAGTAGCGCTACTGGTCTTTCCCATCCCTACCCTAGAAAGTAGGAGAACGGATGACTCTTCTCTGCATCCACTGTGCTGGAACACGCCTCATGACTGTCTACAGAGAGCTTCAACAAGCTGATTTCATCACAATCTAAGGACTTTCCAGGTGTGAGTCTCTGTAACTTCGCTAGCACCATTGCAGGCTATATTTGGAGCGCAGTCAATAGGTTCTCCTTCAGCGAGATAGCAGTTCCGCCTTTGTCACCTATACCGGTAATACCCATATTGCTGCTGAGCCACAATGTTTAGACGGAACCGAATGCTTCAGTCATTTCCAAACCAGTGAAATATAGACCGTTTGGACCTGCAAAGATGCATGCTCCCTGGTTGGTAGGTCTCTTCTCCGATATGGATCGGTACAGCTTTTTGAAGTTTTCCAGGAGTCTTTTGTCAAAATTTGCCTAAATTGACCCGCTGTTACACCTAGCGCTTCTTTTGCACTGGTTTCTGTGTTCCAGAAGTGCACCGTGGTCGGGTTGAGTGGCGGAGAGTCGCCACGTAGGACAGGCATTCTGTCAATGTCCAGGTCTACCTACACTGAACTTAACGCTGTCCTTAGAAGACCTTCAGAAACAATGTGCAATAACCAACGCGAAAAACAGAACACAGATTGACGACTGGAGAATCCTTTATTCTTGCACCAACACGGAACCAACAATAAGGTTATCAGACACAAAGTCTAAGACTAAATGTCATATCAATTAATCGCAAGCATTCTTCTGATAGTATTTTTCCGTCTTCTAACGAACAGCGAACGATGGAACGATGACTGCAGTATCAGTGACTCCCGCCAAAATATGGAGCTGAGTTTGAGTGAACAACCATGAATCGATCGTTCATTCTTCAACTATATTGACACCTTCCGCTTTGCTTTTGGGACACGTTGCATGCCTCTCCTCGGCCGTGCGGATCTCTTCTTCGCCTGTGTTGCGACTAGGAGGACGGCATCTGAGATTGTTGTGTGAATATTCATTTTTACCAATTCCCAGTGTTTGCCTGTGGATAACCCCTCCCGACATATAGACCATTCTGCGTCGGACAAAAGTCTTCGCATTTCGGTATCGTTAACCTTGCTGCATAACAGATAGAGTCGGGTAGCGTCCTAATGAGGATGCTCACGAAGAACGAGACCGAACATTACAACAGCTGGCCACTACTCCCCAGAGGAGTAATGATTTGGATATTTTCATCTAGTAACTGGCCACCAGTTAGAACACAATCCAGTTTCGATGGATTTCCACTAGGGTCCCACCCAGTATCGTCTCCAAGGTTCTCAGTTAGCTCTACATTTCCAATAGTTTGTAGCAGACTCTGACCGAATTTTCCCTGATCATACCTAGACCCGAGGTCAAGAGGTGGGACATTGAAGTGCCCAGCTATGGACACTTGGTCACAGCCCAGGTCTCGTCTTCCTGTGATGGTGCTGATCAGCAGCTGGTTGTGCTCTGCTCAACAGGTGTGTGATCGGTAGATGCCACCCAGAAAATGCTTCGTATGGCCTATGGCGTAGTGATATCTCATCTAGTCTGGGAGTTTGGTGAGTGGTGGCTCCATTGCAGTAACGCATTTAAATTGCCTGTGAAAGGATGTGGCAACTCCCCCCTTCCCGGCTATTCCTTTCCCATCTAGCCAGAACCATATCGCTTATAATAGTTTCCTTGTCGGTAACTGTAGGGGTTAGCCAGGTTCCAGTCAGGATTGTTATTTTGAGAGTTCGCTTACTCCCTTCAGCCCTCTCACAATGCAATATATCTGTCTGTTTTCGACATAGAACTTTGCACCGATTTGCGGCAGTTCAAGTCGCCACACTCCATGTAGCACACAAAGCAAGAGAAGAAATTAGAAGACATGCACAATAGAGACAGAGAGATGAGGTGTGAGACAAAGGAGTAGTAATAACGAAGAACAATATAGTTTCATTGGAAATTATAAGTCACAAGGAGTGAATGCATCTGCGCCTGCCATTGAAAACGATTTTGAGCCATATCACCAATTGTTTCCAACCATTGCTTTTTACCGTCCAAAGGACCCCAACCAGGAAGTCTATACCTTCCTAGGTGGCTGGCTTAAACTAACTGTTGTAGATTTCATTGACTGATGAGGCCATGTTTTGGTTTGACCGCCACTAGCTCTTTTCCATACTGACCCTTTGTCAGCTAACACTGCCCGTCGAGGAACGCAATGCCTAGACATACATAACACATGTCATAACCATCTCAGTCGATGTAATTTCACAGCCTCGTCGATTGATTTCCCCTCCTTACCTAGCACTCAACCTATGCCCAACCTAAATATTGCTCACCCTATTATACCACTTCACACAGGAGATACAACGCAGGCACTTACGATCAAAGACAGTGATAAGTCAATCCCTGAAGTTAGTTAGGGTTAAGTCCATTAGTACATATATGATGAAATTGAATAGAAATGGGGATAATGGGCATCCCTGTCGGACACCACTATTCGTCACCACTTCAGATGACAACTCGCCGTAAGCCCTCACCTGGCTGCATGAGTTCGAGTGGAGTGCCTTGATCGGTGCAGTGTATTTTCTCGGCATTCCCTTTAAAGCCAAGCATCGACAGAGTACCTCTCGTTCGACAAAATCGACTCCCGCCTATAGGTCAAGAAATATAATGATTGTTAGACGCCGTTAACAATGCATATGTTATAGAATCTGTTGAAGAGTCAAGATATGATCAGTACATCCCGTTCCTGGTTTAAAGCCTGCCTGGTTCTCTCGTGTTTGTCCCTCCCGAAAACCGCTTAGTCTACGCAATATTATTGAGCCTAGGACTTTAGATATCGTGTTAGTCAAGCTAATCCCTCTGTGATTATCACAGAAAGACTTGTCTCCCTTCTTGTATATGGGGATAATCAGTGACTTACACCAACCCGGCGGGACTTCCAGTGATTCCCAGACGCTGCCTAGCACCTCTGTTAATGCAGACAGTAAACTGTCTCCACCGTACTTAAATGCTTCAGGAGTCGTTCCATCAGGTCCTGCTACTTTGCCTTGTTTCAGACTAGTGACGGCTTTAGTAACCTCAGTTAAGGACGGAGGACTTGTGTCTATATCCCATGCAGGCCGTGTGTGACCGGCCTCAAGCAGTTGTCCCCTGGGATCTGCGGTTACGCAACAGTAACCGTCTCTATCTTTCAAGTACACGAAAAGCAAATCAACTTCCATGGTGTAGGTTGCCGGGAAGTAACAACCGCCCACACGCTTCCAAGAGCACACGAGGCTTTCCTGAGCATCATTCTCCTTTACTCACAATGCAATATAGCAAGCAGACAGTCTCAGAACCACACAGAGTTGTGGGGTAGTTGATGCTATGCGGTATGCTGACAGAGAGTTTAATATCGGAAAAGTTTGGCCGAATAAAATGAAACTGGCTATCATTCCCAGTGACACAATGTCGAGACACGTAAAAGACAGATCACAAACTGATTAGGCTTTCTTAATTTCTACAGATAAGAAAATCTGAGAATTGGACTGAGATCCCACAGAATAGGTGAACTACACAGTTTTCGAGGACAAATAAATATGTGCATTGTCTGCTGCAAGCGAAAAAGTATTCTGTTCAGACTGGTGTTTTATATGCAACACTTCAGGCATCTTGGAAACAAATCCAATCCGTAAAAATCTGCAACACCACAAATAGCAATTTAGAAGAAGGTTTGTCCAAAACCTTGTTGGAATACTGAGGAATGAAAAGTCTCTGATGAAATGGAACAATGAAATGTCAGAAACGAATCTACTGAACGATTACAAACTAGGACCGTGGTTTAGAAGCTTTTAGCCCTGTACTTACTTCTAGACTAAGCCCACCCACAAACTCAGAATCAACCTTGGTAACCTGCACGAAATATACCTGCACTAATGCAGAACTGATGAACACACTAGACGAATTCGAAAGGCGAATATTAAATCATAGGCACCTATCATGAAAACTCACCATAACAAATTTGCATTCAAATAGTAGCTTCACTAAGCAGCCAGAATTCCACCGTCAGCAACTCCGGTGCTTTGATCGGATAAAAGTATCATCGCACTCATTTTAATGGGTAATAATGAGAGTCAAATAACGAATCATCTTACAAATGAATAAGCATCTACAGGTGGAATCCAGAAGCAAAGAGTGTGATACTTGGGTTTACATCCAGATTCTTAAAGGCAAACAGGACCAGGGCTGTGACGGTAACTTTGAGGATACGAGACGCATCCGACTAGTCCGTCCGAAAATTCACTTTACTCATCGGTTTGTCACTCACTGAAGCTGTTGGCTGAGGCTTATGATCCCATCAGTTTTGTAGTCAGTTCCACAGTCTCGTGTTTAAATCGCTGATTCACCATTCTCAAAAGCACCTAAGCACTTACTGTTCGGGCATCCGATAACAGTATTTAACCAGTTACACGTACGACTGCAGTTGCGCGTGTTACCCTTTTATATACTGGTAAGTTCTCATATAGTCTTTTTCCAATGAGGCATGCATTCTTAGGCATATTCTTATGATTTTAGAGTTTCCACGTGATATCCACAGACCAATGTGATAGAATATATGTAAGGAAGCATAAAGTGAAGAATTATGCCATTCACTTTTATAGATAACTCAAATACTTCGGGGAATTATGTCTCACTGTCTGTGGCTTTTAATAAATATTATGTTTATTCAAACTAGATAGGGGATGCTAAATTCTTCGAGAAATCATTAAGGAAGTGCAGGATATTTGGTAAGTGTATGGTTGAACTAGTTAAAGATCAGAGTCAGGGTCAAGCCGAGAAATTGTTGGGGTTAAGTTGTGGGAATATTAGGATTGTTTGAGGCTGGATTGGGGTACATTAAGGAGAGATGTGAGTCACAGTTAGGTAAGAAAGGCGTGGACTCTGGGTTAAAGTTAATCAGTGATATATTCTGGTTAGGATTGAATGAAAGTCTCAAATTAGCCCTCTGATGTCGACTGTTACTTTAAAGGTCTCTGGTGCGTTCGTCCCTTCAACTCTGCCATGATATAACAATATTTCTCTATCCAATATCGAAGATACTTGCAATCTGAATGTAGTGGATCACTTATCGAATGATGCAAAGCAATGAACCTTGAGTCATCGCGCCTAAGTCAACTCTTCTTGTTGCTATAGACGTTCGCTCTGCTCGCAGGGTTGTTTACCCCATTTGTGGTTTAGTGTGAGCTGTTGGTCAGTGTGTTTTCTTTCCTATTTTTCAGGTGAAGCTCCAGTTATCACAATTTTCCGATGAGGTCAGTTTCGGTCCATTCGTTATATAATATATATATATATATAAGCAAACGCAAGTGTTTAATCAATTAAATTTACTTAATTAAGCACTTGCGTTCACTATGCTTATTCTTTATAAGTTGCTGCAATAATATAGGAGAATGAACGCCCATTATTGTCTGTCTTTTATCCCTTTTAGCGGATCTAAGCGCGGAAGGAAATCTGTCATGGGTCTTGACCTAACAAATATCATTGATTCCCCACCAGGAAGTGCCGAGTCGAGTGGAACTCGCAGAAGATCCTTGAGATTACGCCGCAAATCTACATGTGCACTGTCCCATGACGAACAAACACTACCATCTAGAAGATATCGTCGAAAGTCTGTGATAGACCCGCAAACTCAGGTAAGTGCGTCTGCTACGTTGAATAAGTTACTTGTTTATTTATTTTCATTCCTTCACGTTCCCAGTGGAACATAGGGCTTCAAGCTAGAGACTTGAATTTTCTGTAGCAATGTTTATTTTTACAGCATGGGGTTGTTAGCAGAATGACAAGGGTTTGATACTAAACATATGTTCAACGTTAAATTACTTTCGATGTGCAGGAATGAAAATGAGTCAGCACATCAATAAAAGACGACAGCACGTGGGAATATTTAGGTCTTCGCATATTGGATATTGGATGGGGTTTCTATCCTCTCGCTCAACCGATTTCTCTTAAGCAGCTTCATTTCTGGTTCACCGAGGTTTAGGAGTGCGTTGGCTGGCGATTGAAACCGTGTGGACATCCGAGGTCGAGGGGAATTCTACCGCTGCACCGTGAACTCAGTATGTTCATATAATCACTGTTAAATAATCTTTGTTCCACATACTTTTTCAATATAGATTTTCCAAATTGAAACGTCATTAAGACAAGGTTTATATATAACGTATTCACCGTATTGGATATCGATACCATATCACTTTATTGGTCTTGTTTTGCATTCGAATGTAGTCTGCGTTAGCATTGTTGACAGTTGGCTGATGTAGTTGTTAGCTATATCACATCTTCTGTATGCGAATTGTTCAGTGCTTCTGTTTAAAGATTTCAAAACTGGTAGTCTGTTTAAATGATAAATCAAAATAGTGAAAGTAACACAGGACAGGACATATAAAAACTTGGACCGTGGTGTTGCCATTTTAACGTATGCTTTGTACTTGATTGCATAGATGAATCACATATATGAGTTCTCATACATTCAAACATCCTACTTCAAGATAGTTATTCCATTCGTTAACCGTTTCTAGCTTTCGCGAAATTCTTCACTTCTGTCCACTTTAAGTACCCAGTCGCCTTGTGTGAAAACCCAAGCATTTTGATTTAGTTGTCATTTATATAAACATCCCCTTTCTCTCCGTCTCTCCTTGTTCATAAAACATACAAATCTACAGTGCAAATTTAAGCTGGTTTTCCGTTAATCTTTCTGACGGGTCGAGCACATACCCATTTGAATTACATTGTCATGCTTTAAGATATGCTCGGCATGTACGTCTTGTAGCTTGAATTTTGTTGATGCATCATATTGTATTTCAAAAGCCACTATTTTCTTCATAATTTCTTGGTCCTCAAATTAATAGAACGAACAAACTGAATAGCTATTACCTAGGTACATGAGACTATGCTTTACATTGCTAGTATCTTCAACCATGAGTAATATATGGTACTAATCCACACTTTAATTAATATTCCTTTTTTGTAGACGGATGCAGTTTATGACGCATCGTGCAACTCTTCTCATTCGCCTGCCCAGAATGAAAAGAATGTACCATGTACGGATATTTTTGCACAGCCATGCTGTACTGCGTCACCCGATAAGGTATCTGTCTTATCGCAAGATGAATTGGAAAATGTCAGACCTCAAAGTCCTCCACACATACCATCAGATATTACAGATGTCTGTCTTCATAATAATAATATTACAGAAAAGTACTGACCTCATAATTGAAAACTACAGAATTTTTATGAATGTCCGATCAGCGTATGGTAAAGTTGTTCAGGTTAGATATCAATACCTTGAGCACTGAAGTTAGTGGTGGGCATGAGTTAATGTGCAGTTCAACTTAAATTTCTCGTTTTACTGAAGTAGCAGCTGTTGAGTGAGTAGTAGTGTGTTGCCAATCTTTTCCTAATGTGGTATTTTTTTCTTTTTTAGTAGTGGTTTTTGTGAATATATTTCATAACTAATTGTTCTCTTTGTTCCCTACTCGGCATTACTGTCTGAGTTCCATTCATGCCGTTTTGCTAGCGTAATTTCCTTCTATACGTCAAGTGGTAGATATCTTAATTTGTTTGTACAATTTTGGCTCTACAAGCGTTTTGATTGCAACGATATTCGTTCAGCTTTTGATAATGTTGGCAGTCTTATAAGTAGCTCTGTTCACGGTTTCAGTCAAGTAACACCAGTTAATAATTTTCTGTGAATTAGGGTTTGCGGATATTTGATAAAGTCAACTAAGAAAGTGTCGAAATAATATCAACTTTTAATCTTAGAAGTTGGGTATTATTAATCAGTAAAATACAACAGGTATTTCTTAATAATATATATTTTCCTATCAATGTAGGACACACCAGTTGTACAGGCATGGATAAGTATTATTTAAATTACATGAATTTGATTTATAGTGAAATTACATGGTTGCTGTCCTCTCTGATATCAGCTAGTGAGCACATTCTGATAGTTAGTCGTTCAATGTAGCACATAAAGAAATATAGAAATATTGTCTTCGCATTAACAAAAAAAACCCAAGTACGTGTCGGATAAATTACAAATATTTGGGAAAAAAATAAAGCTTGAAGTCAATTCCTCCATATAACTTTGTTGTGTGCGGCATCGTATCTTGTTTTATGTTCAAATTGTGTATTTATTTAAAATGAGTGATTTATTTTTATGATTTTGACATCACTTAAATTGCAAGTAATACCAAATGTGAATTCAACTGAATGTAGATTAATATTGGTCATTGTCAAGCAGATCTGTTTTACTGCACTCAAGTCACCCATAGCCCGCCATTTGTCACAGCATGGTT